GCTACTGAATCAGGTGATAGAGGTCTACGATCATTGGATACTGATGCAAATGGCCCATCTTTATGCTCTATATTTGAATAACAAACAGACTCAGGTGATGTAGATTTGTATTCAGCAGCTGAAATAGTTAAAGCATGTCTCAATTCAGGTATGGGTGAATCAGGTGAAAGTGCCCTGAGTTCATTTTCAGAATCGGGTGTGAAGGATCTCCCATGCACGGCTGATTCCATATATTGCCTAAACTGTGGTAGAGGAGAATCTGCTGATAAAGTCCTAAACTCATTAACTGATAATGTTGAATCAGGAGATAATGTTCTTAATTCTGTTGTTATCATCAGTGAATGAGGTGACAGAGGCCTATATTCTGTCACTGATTCTGGTGAGCGTGGCCTCTCATTAATTTCTGATGTCGCAGAATCGGGAGAATCTGCTCTGTCTTGAATGCCAAATTGTGAAGAAAAAGATCCTGATGAATCCCAGAGATCGGAGGCACCTGATTCAGGCGAGCATGATCTGTAACCACCAACTAAAGCAACAGAGTCCTCTAACTCCATCCTAAAGTCAGGCACTGGTGAGTCAGGAGAGAGGGGCCCATGTTTACTCAGTGAGACTTCTGATTCAGGAGATGACAACCTTGACTCAGTAGAAAATTGTCGAATGGGTGGATCTTGACACAAAGGTCTATCCCCATCCAATGAGTTGTCATCTGACATTGGCCTACATGTCTCTTCTGCATCTGAATCAAGGGGAAAGTACTCTTTACTAGTCTCCACATATTCAAACATTTCAGCTTTGCTTACAAAGGCTTCTCCTACATAATGGGGGTCATATAGTTGACATATCAAGTGGTTTGCTCTAAATGTTGCACCAGCAGCTAACTGGCTTTCTTCAAGCATGGAAACAACTGATTCAGGTGAGTCTGCTGTTTGGTCTGCACAGGCCTCTGAAGGTGAAAAGCCATATTTGAAATCTGAAAGTACTACCTCTGGTGAAGGTTTGTATTCTGACTCTGACACTGGTCTATCTCCTCCCTCAGTCTTTGTTTGTACTGCTTGTAGAACATCTGCACCAGGTGAACATGCAATGTCCAACTTCACACCATCCTTTAACTCTCCCTCTTTCATATCTGAATCCTCCAGAACATACTCTATTCTTGTTCCAGCATACTCGAAAACACCGGTTTTACTGCAAAAAGTCTCCCCTACATAGTGAGGATCACGTATTTGAGAAATTAGCTTCCAAAGTTCAGCATCATAAACAAGTCTATATACTGGCACCCGTATTGGCTTGAGAGGCAATGTTTTACTACTACCATCCAATGGTCTCTCCGTGGTCTCCGAAACTTGTGATTCTGGTGAGTCAGGTCTCTGTTCACAAATACTTATGTCTGCACTTGACTGTGTGTATTCAACATCAGAAAACACTGACTCAGGAGAAGATGATCCGTGAGCAATAAATGAAATTGATTCAGTCAGCCCTGTTTTGAATTCTGGTATTGGTGAGTCACCTCTGTAGCCATCTCCAGAAGCTACTGAATCAGGCGAGGATGGTCTCACTTCACGAGACAATTGTGACACAGAAATAGCCCCATATTCTAAATCTGAACAAACTGAAACAGGTGAAGGGGATGTTTCCAGAGTGCTCCCAACAGCAAATTCTGGAGAGGCCTGTCCAAGCACAGGAATTGACAGCTCAGGTGAAAGTTGTCTGTTTTTATCAATGGAATCTGAAACAGACACACATTCTAGATCAGAAGCCCGATCCAATTTAGCAATTACAACTGATTCAGGTAAAGACAGTCTAAACTCAGAAATAGCTGAGTCAGGTGATAGTGCCCTGCCTGTGTTTATAGATGCTGCTGAATCAGGTGATTCTGGTCTGTCCTCAAAAATAAATGACAGGTTTGAATCAGTCTCCAGATCCAGATCTGACAACACTGACTCTGTTGACTCTAATCTGTGATAAACTAGAGAGTCAACAGAGAAAGAGGCAAAGTACTGAGGAAGAGGGGAATCTGGTGTTAAAGCTCTCTGACTATCTACAGATCCCCCTGAGTGGGAGGAATCTGGTCTGAGTGCGTCCAGCACCAACAGTGACTGTGGTGACATCGGCCAATATTCTGCTTCAGAATCTGATGAAAGTGATCTTTGGTAATTTTCTAATTGCAAAGCGTCACCTTCGTCTTCATCTTCGTCTGTTACATCTGACTTTGTCTGATAAGACTCTGTGCTTGCTCCAGAAAACGGAAACACTCCTACATACTGTGGGTCATGAATTTGAGAGACGAGTTTCCGACATTCTGCATCATAGGCTAAACAGCAGGCTGGTTTTCTTAAAGATAAAGGTATGTGATACCCTCCAGGTAGCTGCTGATCTTCTGGGATATTTGTATCAAATCCCAATGACAACGGTAGATCACTAGATGCAGTTTCTGAAGACAAAGGAGGTGACAGAACTTTAGCAGATAAGTGTGTCTCTTCATATGTTGTTGTTATAAACTCAGATGATTGTTTCATAGATTTTGTAACTTTCACTGATTTCTTAGATGTTTTATCTTTCATCTTTCTAGCAGATTTGGTCCTGTCAGTTATGAGATTATGGGCAGGATTAGGCAACGACCCATAATCACTTACAGAACCACTAGAATCTGGAGATAACGGCCTACTCTCAAAATATGACAGCAATGACATGGCCTCATATTCTGGATCTGACAAGACAGATTCTGGTGATGATGAATGGTCATTTATAGTAACAGCAGGGTGCACAGATGGCATATATTGTGGTATGGGAGAATCTGTTGACTCAGTGAATGTTTCTAGTTCAGGAGAGAGTGCTCTAATGTCTAACATAGCTAACTCTGGAGACTGTGGTCTGTCATCAGGCACTGACTCTGCTGAAAGTGGCCTTCCTGCATTAACAGACAAAGATACAGCAACCCAATCATCAACATACTCAGATACAGATTCCACTGGTATTGGTAGTTTTTCCTCGGTATCAGGTACTAATTTTGTTCTATGTTCAGCAGGTATGGAATCACACGCTACCTCTGCACATTCACTTAAGGGTGATCTATGTCCAAAAACAGGTAAGACAGATTCCGATTCATCTCCAGATGCAGGTGATGAGGCTCTTTCTTCCTGGTAAAATGATACTGGAGACATGGAGCCATGTACCACATCTGAGCATAATGATTCAGGTGAAGTGAACCTCTCCCCTACCACTACAAAAGCAGCATCAGGCAAGTTGTGACTGAATTCAGCTATAGGTGAATCCGGTGACAGTGCTTTATATTCGTTAACAGATGCTATAGATTCTGGGGATGTTGGCCTGTCTTCAAAAAGGGTTGAGAACACTGTTTCAAATTCCATATCTGATGACACTGACTGCCGTGATGAAGCTCTATCTTGACAAGTTGTAAAAGACTCTGGGAGCTGACAATGAGCACTGATGGATTCAGGAGATGATGGTCTCATCTCCTGGAAATCAGGAGACAGAGTCACATGCTCAGAGGAGGTAAAAAACCATTGCATGGTTTCTAAAATGACAGACTCAGGTGATGATGCTCTTTCTTCTATGTCAAAAGTTAATGATTGAGGTGAGATGGATCTCTCACAACTATAATCACTGCCTAGTGATACTGGCCTTCCAAATGGTCTTTTGTTTGAAACCATTGGCGTTAATGGTCTTTCCTCTGCTTCTGGTGTTAACAGCATTAAAGTTCCTCCTGGCGCACTCAGTAATTGTTGCCCCTGGACAGAAGCCCCAACATCACCAGTTTCCCATGGAAAAACAAGAGGTGGTAGGGGAGACAAAGGCCTAAACTGAGGTACTGGAGAATCTGGTGCAAGAAAATTCAGCTCATTTACTGATGACACTGATTCAGGTGATGAGGCCTGACTCTCTGTCAGAAGTAATGCTGTATCAGTGACACATATAGGTGAAGTTGATCTATCATGAACTAAACTATGAAGTTCACAAATAGTTTCAGAAGTGGATTCTGGAAAAGAGGATCTATATCTGGATACTTCGATCTCAGGTGCAGACTCTACAGAGACTACAACATCAATCTTCTCACAAGTTGAGTCATGTGACAGCTGAATAAAGCTTGAAGAGCTCATGAGTTCTGCCTTTGAAGAAATAAAACCTGGAATGGGACAACTGACATCAGAGGGACACGCTAATGTCTGAGTGGCAGTAACCTGGGTTTGATTCACAACATGTACGGATCTGACATCAAGGTCATCTGAAATTGAGGCCTGGTCAAAATCACTCTCAAGCACAGAGTTTGAAATATCTTCATCAATGTTTGTGCGTCTAGCGGCTCCCTTAATGTTATTTTTCCCGACTCCAGCTTGAATTGTGTCTTCAGGGTGTTCATTCATAGGGACCACAGACGAATCCTCACTATCTGAATCCATAAGGTCAACATCATAACCATACAGGACTTTATAGAGTCGACGTGAAACTTCATCCATGTGTTCTTTTGCCATTTGTTTGGTCTTGGATGTGGAGTCTGTCATTGCATTACCAGAACCAGAAGGAGGGATAACAGTAGGCTGAATCCGTTGTTCACTTGCTGGTTGTGAAAAGCAAATCTTTTCAGATACCTCATTGGTTTCCGTAAGTTCCATAGACAGTTTGCTGAAGTCTTGCTCGGCTTGATCACATTCAATCAAACTATCTCCAAAATCGGTCATAGACAATGGCCGACTCTCGCATACACCAGTTCGAGAGCTATTGGATGACTCTCGCCAAGGCAACGGTGACAAATGATAATCATTTTCAGAATAGGTGGTTTGTAGACACTCCAAGCTCCACTCCTCTCCCCCCTCTGCCCCTTCATATCCAACAGCACCCTCATCATCACATGGTTCAACAGTGGGGCAAGGAGGGGGGGTAATCTGGGCATCTAACTTGGGTCCCCCTTTGTACACAGGGTCTATCACATGGGCTCGGAGGTTGAAGGGAGAGGTGCGGTACAATGTGAAGAAAGGACTTACTTGTTTAAAATTGCCTGTGTGTACCGTGTCTGTCAGTTCCTCATATACTCGTTGTGATGAACTGTGAAAAAACAGAATTGGATGGCATATCAATAATAAAAGAATATGAATATTAAGTCATGTAATGTAATGACCACACAGTATGGATTTAAGTCCAACTAAAATCTAAAAAATCTTTGCGTCGATGAAATTAGCTATCTAGCCTGCAATCCAAAGTAATTCACTTCTTCCAATGTACAGTGCAACATGTGTCCATGTTTGTGTAAATAATAAAAAAATATAACTTTCTGCATAACTTACTATGCCGTCTTCATCTCTTTTTGTAGTTTCTCTTTCTGGGAATTTTTAAGAAGGCCTGTTGCAGTGGAACCTGTGTCTGATCGTCCCATTGTCTCATGAAGTGATGACAAACTGGAAGACAGGTCCTCTGCTGACACCATGGGTACCTCTTGTCCTGAGCCTGGACTCCTACGTGTAGCATCTGTACGCCTGCCTGACCTGGGGCTGTCGATGTCTTCATGAAGGGCAGAGAAACCTGACAGTGGAGGCATACCGAATGAGGTTAGTTTAAATAACTTTATTTACTTAGTTTTATAGGAAAACAATCGATCAGAACTTTCTACTTAGAAATAACAACAACCAAATCATGAATCTGTTTTAAGTTAACACTGGTCTGTGTACCTTCACTATGATCCAGTGCTATGGTCTGCTCTATTTCTGCATAGGTATGTGATGATGTCTCCTCCTGAGTGGACTTGTTTATCTTAGTTTCAATGAGGTGAACAATGTCCATTCGGTTGATCTTAGTCAGTCTTTTGATCAGGCTTGTTTCTGGTGACACACAAAAAACTTCAACTCAACTTTAAATTTGAATAAATGCTTTTACTTTGTACTTAAGTAATCATTCTGAGAAATATGAATCCTCCTTTTCACAAACCTGTGGCATGTTTTCCCTCCCTCTCTGCCCAGAGTTGCAAAAGAGCGTGGCTTTGGTCTTGAAGTGAGTTGGGGTTTTCAATCCTTATCAGGTTGATCCTTTCCTCACTGAAGTCCAGTTCTCGTGCCAGCTCTGAAGAAAAAGAAGATAAAATAATGATTATGATGAAGATACATTTGAAATGATGTTTCTTGAGAGCCTGGCAAACATTAAGTAATAATATATATATTTAGTTTGAAAGCTTAATCACTGCTACCAAGGTGTGACTCACCTGTCCAGCTGAAGCCCAAATGGTCAGCTATAATGGCCAACCGTTGCTCTTTTCTTTCTGCTTCATCCTGTGGATCTACTGTAAATACCACCAGACAGCCATGAGCGGTCAGAGCCACAAGGTATACCAAATCAAGTCACATTCACAAACGGTTTCAAAAATCATCACTGGCTTTCTTCTTCTTGTAGCACTTTGACAGTTTGTCTGGTTAAATCATGATAGCAAATTACCGAATTGTAATCTAAAACAAGCGCATAATGTGCTGGTGAAGAATGGTTGATTAAAAATGTAGTGACGCTATGATAAACAAATGTACATTTGAATCATTATTAAAATTATTGACATTACATGTAGGTGTTGAAATAATGATTTACTCTTTAATTTCAAACATTTGAGTCACTAAGTTGTTTTCACGAGTTCCATAAAGCCTTTAAGTCAATCTTGAGATTTTCAGCAGACATACAAGGAAAGAGAAACGTCTTTACGAACACAAATACACAGCCACATGGATTCTTCTACTACAATGGGACTTAACAACAAGAGACAGAGAGGCAGCACCTTTACAGCTACAGTGTACTAATGAGGCACAAGAGATAGAGAATAGCCCCTTAAACTGGGGGGATACCTTGACTTTGGACTTTATCATCGGGGATTCGCTGCATCTGTGTCTCAACAGGGTCGTCCCACAGTGGTCTAATGGGAAAGACGTCTCCTGAGGGAGGGAACTGCATCTCAGGGAAAGTTTCTCTTTCTATGATTGATGGATCAATGAGACTGCTCTCATCGTCTGAGTTGGCGGCATCAGCCTCTTGTTCTTTGTCTGTCTCTGCCTGTGCTAACCTTGCCACAAGTTTTGCTGCTTCATCACTTATCTCTTCGAAGAACTCAATGGACTGTTTGCATGGCTCACTTTTCTCTTTAGTGGGTGTAGATGAATGAGGCGACTGCCCACTTTTGCCTCGGACTGGCAATCTGGACTGGAAGCTTTTAGATTTTGCTGCCTCAGCACTCAAGGGGCGACCCTGTTCTTTTTTACCAGATGTCCTGGTAGACTCCCCCTCACAGAAGCTCTTGGCTTTGGAAGATGGTGTCTTGGTTTTGACTTCCACAGAAGGACCTGCGTCTGTCTCAGATTTTCTCCTTGTATCCTTTTTTACAGGGACATTAAGCTTTTTGTTTTGGGTAGATTCAGCACGTTTGACAGTAGAATCAGGCTTGAGAGTACTAGCCTTGATGGGAATTCTAGATTTAGACTCAGAAGTGAAGGAGGCCTCTTTTTTAAGAGTGTTTGAGGAGGAGGTTGCATGAGATGGAGAGGCAATTGTGGATTTACCCCGACCTTGAGGAGCAGACTTAGCTTGTGTTTTGACCGGAGTCTTTTTAACACTACTGGAAGCACTTTGTTTGGACTTGCCTGTTGGTTTGGGTGCTTCTATCACTGACTGTGGTTCCTCTGGAGAAGAATCAGAGGACTCTTGGCCCTGCTCAGAGTAAACTGATCTAGTGACTGTAGTTTCTGCTGTCTGTACATTCGTTATCATTTGGTCAGGGGAACTTGTGTCTAAATCTAAGCATCCTTCATTTACATTTTTGTCAGTTTTAGTTTCTAGACCTTCAGGTGAAGTCTGATCTTTCTTTGTAGGTTTGGCTGAAGCTGAAATGCCCATTTTAGGGATTTTAGATTTGGAGGCATCAGCTTTAGAGGCTGGCTGATCACCTTCAGGTGAGGACTGAAGCTGAGAATCAGTTGTTTCTTTTGATTTCTCAGTCTCTTCAGTTTTAACCTCCAGTGTTAGATTGAGGCCGACTTCAGGTTCTTCTGCCGACCTCATGACTTCCTCTCTGGCCTCTTCTAAGAGAAGCTCCTCTAAAGGCTGTTCACCTATCTGGAAAAAGGCAAAGCCACCCCCCTCTTCCTCATAGCTCCTCTTAGTCATGTCAATAGCACCACTTCGGGTCATCTCAAAGAGCTTCCCTTCTTGGAATAAAAAAGGGTTGGGCTCACTGGTAGGAGTGCTCTCTTCTGTCGGTGTTCTACCAGGTGTTGTGTCTGGAGTTGCTTGCAGAGACTGACGGTCCACCACCAAATTTAGTATCTTCTGTTCCTCCTCTTTGACACGAGCTGCAAAAGTGGCATCATCCTCCCGCATGGCAGACCATGAGTCAGTGTCTACCCTTGCAGTGACACCTTTTGACTCAGTTCTGGGAGGTTCCAGTGCCTCATCATCCTCCTCTGTGTCGTCATAGATACAGACCTCCGGTTTGAACATTTCCTTTGTTTGACCTGTGGCAGCAGTTGCACTGAGTCCAGCCTCTGGTGCACCTGTATGCCCTTTTTGATCTCCTTTTACTTCATCTGTTACATTGCTACCTTGTTTTAGCGTACCAGTCAGATTGCTAACACCTAACTCTTGAGCACCATTATCATCTCCTTCACTTTCTTTTGACTTCCTTAAGCTCTCCTCCTTTTGCTCATCAGTCCTGTTTTCAGCGTTCGGTGTTACAGCAGCCTTTTTGGCAGTACTGTTGTTATTAGCTCTAGCAGATGGCTCGGCTCTTTGTTCCTGTGTAGTTTCCAGTTTGTATTTTGAATGGTGCTGGTCTGAGACAGAGTGAGGTCCCTCTGAAGTTACACTGGCTGTTGTTGTTGTTGTTGTTGTTGTTGTTTTCTTGCCCTCTTTGCTGTGCGATCCGTCATGCAAACCTGCTGAAAAAGGAGAGGGAGGTTGTACTTTAATATGAAGATCAACAAAAAGAGCTACCTTTGAATCTTCAGCGGGTCTATTGAGCCCACATTCACTTTGCGAAAGCTTCTGACTTGTGGGCTCTAATGTTTCATAGCTGTCATCCCCTACTTTGGCATCTGCTGAGGAAAACCAATCTTTTCTAGAGTTCTTTTTGCTCCTTTCGTCTTGTTCCATTTCATCAAATGTTTTTATTTTGGCTGCCATCTTAAACATCTCCTCCTCTGGAGTGATTTTTCTCTTAGCTTCATAGCTGTCTGATGTATCCTCTTCTTCTGGGTCTTCAGGGATGACAGCCGGTTTGGATGGAACAGACAGGAATGTATGGTCAGGGGGTTTGGGGTTTACCTCATAACTTACCTCTTCAGAACTAGGAGTATCAGGGGAGAGGGGACTCTTACCAGAACTTGTCATCTGAGATGTCTGCTCACAACTGTCATCATCAGCACTAGCGTCATGGTCTCGAAGCAGCCTACCACGCAAAGCATCTTGGGAAAATTCTGTAGCTTTGGAGGACTCTGGATGGCTAGAGGATTTACTGGGTGCACCTTTAGCTGATGGGAAGGATGGGTGGTTTTTTTGCTCTACAGGGCTGCTCTCTAAGGAGTCATGAGGGGGCGATTCCTTGGTTGGGCTAGGTTCAATAGAGTCTGGGGACTTATCGGAGGAGTTCTCTTCCATGAGAGGACTACCCTCTAGAGAGTCTCTGTGGCTTATTGTCAAAGAGTCATCAGCTAATGGGCTGAGAGCATCTGAGTCCTGTTTTAAAGGCAGCTCTAAGCCTTCATGACGCTGAGAAGAGGATCTAGAGGCTGGAGAACCAACTAAAGACAAAGCTAGCTGACGATCAGGGCTCTCGTCATCGCTAAGAAAAGTTTCTACAGTTTCTGAAACTCTCTTTATTAGCTTTTGAGGTTTAGATGGCTTAGACTCGCTCCTCTTAACAGATATGGACTCACTTGTAGTGTGGTCATCTGCAGCCTCGCTGGAAAAGACAGGGAGGGTCAATTCTGTAGAGAGCTGGTCACCAGTGGTCTCTACACCAGAGTCTCCAGACTTCTCAGTGGCTTTACTTTCTATTTTGACTGTTGTGACAGTTATTGCCGAAGTTGTAGAGGTCTGCTGTCCAGTTTTGGGAGAAGGACACAGACTTTCTGGGCTTGTGCCTGGAGTTGCTAGAGCCTCATGTTTGTAACTGTCCTCAGAGCTCAGATGAGGGGTTCCATCTCCAGAACTGGCACTTAGTGAGTCCGCCACACCCTCATGTTTTAAGCTGTCAGAGCTATCATCAAGGTCACCGTTTCCAAAGTCCACAGTTTCAGTTAGCTCTGAATGGGCGGCAGCGACTGACTTGGTTTCTTTCTCTCTATCTTGCGGAGTAGTCTCTTTCTTGCAAGGTTTGGAATCCAAAGACACTTCTTGTTCTTGAGAGACACGTGAGGTTACTGCCTTGGTCATGGACTTTGATTGGACAGTTTTCTCTGATTTTGATGTAGTGGATGTTTTGAGCTCAAATAGCCCAGACTTTCTCTTTGAGGGGTCCTGCCCTGTTTGGAATGCTTGCATCAACTCTTTAACTGACATGGTCTCCTCAAGCTTTTCAGATTCAGCTTTGGGGGATTTAGGTGGGACCTGTTTGGATTTAGGGCTTTCTTTGGCTTTTGGAGAAGGTTTGCTCATAATAGGCAATTGTGAAGGCTTGCTTCCAGTGACCTTTTTGCTCTTTTGCTCTGCCTCTACTTTTTGTTGTAAGGCTTTGACTTTGTCCTTTATTGACCCAATTGGAGTTTCTTCAACCACTGGGGACACAGGTGATGCTGGGGCAGGGGCTGTGGGCACACTTAAAAGTGCACCTGTCTCTGTTGATTCCTCCGCCTGCACCTGGTCTTTCCCCTTCTTTCTGACTGGCTTTTTAACTTCACCAGCAGCTGTTTTGTCATGAACTTTGGTTGCAGAGGTTGGTTTTGAACTTTTGCGTAGTACAACATCAGTGAATCTTTCTTGGACAGCTGGCTCTTTTTTAGCTTTTATTTTGGAGCTTACTGGTGCATCCAGGAGGTATTCTTTAAGGTCACCACTGTCCTTTATGGCTTTGGGTCTGGGAGCCCCTCTGTTAGCTCTACTTTCACGTAAGATAGGCTCTTGAATTTCTAAAGCTGCCATCTTTTTGGCCTCCTGAATCTCACTGTCTGAGAGGAGAACCCACTCTTCAGCCATTCTAGCTGCTTTTGCTGCCTCCTCTGCTGCCTCACCCTCATATGTTCCACTCCTCAGTATCTCGCTGACTTTCTCTAGGTCCTCTTTGACTTTCTCTAAGTCCTTCTCCATTATTTCTAATGGCCCTCCAGAAACATCCTCAGTCCCTTTCTCTAGACCACACCCTCCTAAGGAAGGTGATTTCTCTGTGGAGTCTGCAGTCAAGATGGCAGTCATTTTGATCAAATCTTGCTTCATCTCTGACACGTCGGATAGGAGGTCTGGTTCTCGAATCAGCTCAGATTTCAGGACTGATGTCTCCGTCTCTTCATCTTCCATATGGAAGAAGAACAAGTAAGGAGTAAAGAAAATCAAAAATTCAAATGAAAGGAGACAGACATTGGAGAATGTGGTCAGGACAAGATTGGAACACACTGCAGGGATCATAGGACAACAAATTCACAATGGGTTCTACATCAGGGTTTCAGAGGAATTTGGCTTATATTTTCATGTCTCTGGGGAACTGTGGTAAAGTAAAGGCTAAATAATACAGATGGGAAATGATATGAGCCGGAAATAACTTGCTTATACACTCAGCGCACTCACACTCACAAGACAAAACTATAGAACAAAACTAAAATACATTTTAAAAACTATACCAAATATAAATGAGACTAGGTACCAGCGAGTACAATGGAAGAAGGAACATCAAAGGAAACAAAGAAACAACATCAAGACATCTCAAGATTGATCGGATGTATGATATATGTCAATGTGACACAGGCGAAATGCCTGGAAAACAACTCAGAATGCTAATAGCGTCAATCAAAGAAAGCCAGTGATAACTTATACAACATATGATGATTTGCCATGCTTTTCAGTCTAGACAAAGCAGATAATTTACTTAACAGAATCTAATGATGGACACTTTGCTGTCCATTCAGCCTTAGCTAACTAAACATGCACAAAACGCTGTGCACAAAACCATAAGAACATGGTGTTGTGAGGGAACATTCCAAAATCAGCACAGCAACAAAATAACAAATTAACTCTCATTAACAAGACATTACAAATAATCATTCAGACATACAAGCACAAGCATACACATTTATGTAAGGCAAGTTATTTCCATGCAAAGCCAAGGGGAGTTCTGATGGAAAGGTTCTGGTAAAGAGAGCGTGGAAAGTTCAGTCTACAATTAAACAGAACGCTAACAGTTGTTAGCTATCTATTTAATTAGTAAACAGTTGTTTATTAATATGTCTTCATTCAGTAATGTGGTGAGTTCTTGATCTATTAACACAACTACTGATGCAACATACTGTATCAGTATCATGTATTTTATTTTAAATTTCTCCTGAAAACATATACGTGGATTCTAATCAATAACATATCATCCATGTATGTTTCATGAATCAGAAACAGGTTTACTGTCATGGAGGGTTTCACACACAAGAATTTTGCCTTGATATATTGCTCAATTTTCACATTACTAAATGAGCAAGGCACAGAGGATCGAAAGGGAAAGATTCAGAAGGTCTACAGGTGGAGGAATACTAATATTCTGGCATCTAATCTCCTGGAACTGGGTGCTTGCACAGTACCCAGTTTCAGGAACTCTGAGCACACATTGGTGTGACACTTGGTGTGTGACCAGAGGTGCTAGCACAACCCTAGCACAGCACGGCACAAACTTCATTACGAAGATGAAAGCAGTATCAGCAGGTGGAGTCCAGGTGTGCTTCAGTGATGACAAACCACATCACCTCCTTTAAAAGCTGCTCTCAATCCTTTCTTGCTGCAATGTGATGGCTACAGTTATTTAACTAACTGTAGGGGATTGAAGCCTCCCACAAGCAGTTGTGAATGTCATTATTGGAGTCTCTCATTGACCTAACCAGTACAGAGTCTGGCTTAATGATATTACAAGTTGCATTTTGATATATCAAACTGAAAGATGCAAAAATAAAAATACATGAAAGGTTGTTTGATATTGCAGAGGACTGATTATGCACTAAGCCACAAATATGTTTGTTCTTTTTTTCTGAGCAGGTGAATATGAGAACGCTTTTGTGCCAAAGTAGCCAAATTGCACAAGCAAGCAGGTTTGTTAGGAGCCGCTAAATGATGAAACAGGCACAAGCATAAATAAATCAGGAAGACAAAAATGGCATTTTGACTGTGCTGGCGCTATTGCCAGTTTGTTTTTTTGCCAACAAAAAATTATGGGCCATTGTCACATAAACATCACCACAGTATGAATGAGTTCAATTGTCATGTAAATACGTAGATGGCAGTGTCTAACTCTTTCTCCATATTTCCAATCTCAAATTATGATGGGGAAAGCATTAAATTGGAGACATTGACGCAGGTGTCAAATCAGAAAAAAAGGAAAGTAAAAAGTGAACAAAGCCCCAGGACATAACATTGACATGGGGAGGTTTTTGTTTGTTTGACAAGACAAAAAACATGAAGCTTAAAGGGCTTTGATAAGATGTATAGTCTACAATTAAGATAAGGGCTAAGATGGTGGTGTCAGTGTATCAGTGTGGTTATTCCTCTGCACTCTAGACTAGACTAACAACCCATACAATATCAATGTTATTGTCATATTAGTTTGGTTTATAAAGATATGCAGACATGACATTATTTTTTTTTAGTTTTTTTTAAAACTATTTTAGTTATAAAATTAAATTAAATAGGAAAAAATGTCTTACATTTCTCTAGCATTCTGCTGGTCTGAAAGAAAAACAAATATGAAAAGTTAGTCTTGTTTCATCCACTGTACTGTATATGCTAGATATCCTAAAGTTACTACTACCGTTATAATTGCTACAGTACCTCAGGAAAAGAACACAAAGGACACACATAGCACAACAACAAAAATGAGCTATGCCACTGACGAAACACAATACTACTACAATAAACAAATTAAATCTAAAATATAACATCTGACTACTTGAACATGTCCATAATGTTATCCTCGTGACAAGACAGTGGACAGCATAGGTCAGCAGAGCTAGTTAGTAGAAGAGACATGGGGAGCGGTGGCTGCTTTTACCTCTTCCTCTTGCTCGTGGTCTGAATCGGACTCCTTTTGGGAGCAAGAAGCAGCAAGAAGCAGAAAGATGTACAGATAGAAGCAACAGCAACATTAAAGGGAGAAAAGGACAAGGGCAAAAGTATGGTTACCATAGAAACGAAGACAACCAGTCAGTGTGATTTCAGGGAGAGCCAGAGTGATCTTTAAAGCCACATTAGTCAGAGATTTTAGAAGTAAAAAAAAAACAGATTCAGATCTTGTTAGCCTGAATCATACTAAAGCATCACAGACGAGCCATGCTATCCAGATTAGCCATCACACTGCATGACTTCTGGGATTTTAAATCCAATATACTTGGTATTCTTCTGATCTGATTATAGGCCACAATGTTGCCTAGTACAGCCATTAAGATGGCTCACCGTTTAAGTCAGATTTCACAGCAAAGTAGCAACCATCACTATAAAGCAGTAATGTTGGCTGCTTATAGCATTAGCGCACTGCTTATGATGTCAAACATGAATATAAGAAATAGGAATGTATACTGAAGAGTATTAATTAAAAAATAATTGCCATTATGTTTTGGAATAGTGTAGTAACTGATATGTGGGAGATTAGCACGTATTACAGTAGTAGAGGGAAATAGGCTCAGGATTGCAGTATGATCCAGTTTACAAACAGCTACAGTATTTTATTGTAGTGCTTTTCATGTTAAATTACAACAGCCAGATTTACTTACTAGAACTGACAAGATGTGCAACAGAAAGCATCCTCTGTTGAGCCAAACAAAGGCAGTGCCCTTACCTTGCTGTATGATGGCAGGGTGATGTTGAGGTTGCATATGGCATTTTGGGTGAGTGATCTATAGTTCCTGGGTTCTTTCATAAAGGACAGACGGCCACACGGCTCCTGAGTGTTGTCTCTGATCTGCAACAGCCAAGCAGTTCAGCATTAGTCAGTCAACGCTTCATAAGGAAAATTCAATATAAAGAATTATAGTTCTCTTGCTGCACTTGCATTTAAACGATGCGCATGTTTCTTTGTGAAATAAACACATAAAGTAGAGTGCTCACTTTGATGAAGAGTGCTAGTCTGTTCTCCTTGAAGGCAAAGAAGCTGAAGAGATGGTGCTGGCCACTTTTGGTAAGGGGAACAAGGTTTCCAAAGCAGTCTGCATAGATAGGTTTGCCTTCCAGGACCTGAGAAATACAACAGGCAGATTAGTACAAGAACCAACAGACTCTCAACTGCCAGAGTTTTTTTGTTTTAACCCCAGGTGGTTTCCCCTTTTCACCTTCATGCAGTAGTTCACCCATTTCATACAAAACCAAAAGTCAATCAAACGTTTTTGAAAAAGTGATTTATAAGTGGTGAATAATCATTATATTGAGAAATGTTAATGACGTTTCTGTCATAACCCAAAACATGCCCAATCTTTCCTCAGCATCTGATACAGCTTATCATGCAAATATGTTGAAAAATGTCTTGTGTCAGGGATACTGCCTTATACTGGTTTAGAACCTTTTCAGTAGTGGTCTGAGATGGCTCCATTCCCCTCCGTCTGACTGTGTTCCCCAATCCTTGGCCCCCTTATGTTGTCAATATAATTCCTCATCTAGGACAACTATCCACTAACACAGCTACCTAGCTCTATGTCCTGGTAAACACAGCGAGGAAGGCAACTTGCATCACCCAATATCCCATTTCTCAGAAATTAAGTCTCAAAACGTTCTCAAGCTAAATGTAAACATTGCATCGTATTAGGTCCTCTGTGGTTGGTGAGACATTCCTCCTCCACTCTCCTTCCTCACCTCTACATCTCGGCTGCGGGCCACCTCGGTGAAGTTCTCCTGCTGCTCCAGGGTTTTGTCGATCTTGTCGTCTGTCATGCAGAAGCAGCGCAGTCGGGCCTCAATGGGATCGTGGGTCTTGGCAAAGATGACAAACTTGGCCATGTAAGGGACACAGATGATCTCTCGGTACACCTGGGTGGAGAAGTTGACAGACTCCTGGACTTGCCGACAATCTATCAGCCAGAATCTAGAAAGCAGAAGGGTGTTGGAAAGAACCAGTGAGGTTAGGTCTTTGTTGTCTGCCGCATCCGAGTCCCAAATTATTATTTTTTGTGTTACCTGGCAGACACATTGGTGGTGAAGGAGACACAGTCATTGATGAATGTTAACGGAGTGGTTCCTGTTATGTCCTCCCACTGAGCAGGCGTCGTTCCACCTGCACATGGACACAAACACAAAGATTGACATATTAGAGAGTGAGAATGTGTCTGGTTGGTCTATTCACAGATTTGTGTGCACTCTCTAACCGGTGATACTACAGAGCAGTCGCAAGGTGGGGGTGTCCCCTCCAAATCCATTGAGGACCGGGTCGGAGTTGCTTTTGGGGACAGGGATGGTCATGGTGATGGGTTTATGGAACTTCCTCCTGCGGGGCTCCAGGGTGACGATGGGGCTGAACATGGCCTTGTTCCCCAGGATCTTCCTCACTGCATCCATACTGACTGGCTGGGCCTGGGAGAGAAGACAGAGTATACAGCGACCTTATGATTTATTAACACACGCTAGCTCCGCACTTTATAAACATTTCCTAAAAGCTATTTTCTTGTCTCATTTTTTCATTTGTACCATTAAACGTTGAAATGTATATTGTAATAGGCAGTATTTTAACTTATTGGGAGAAAACTGGTAGTTCTATTTAAAATCAGACGTTGAGCACTCCGATATCGCCAAAATGGTGTGATCCTTGTTGCTGCGAAGCTTCAACTGTGAGATTGACAGTCAAATCAGGCTCCGCCCATCAAATCTTCGACTATTAAATTGAAGTTCTGCTAAAGTTCAATATTCACTGCCAGTCTATTTACCGCGTCAAGCAGCACGGAGCACATGAACCAGGCAGGAAGTCAGACACTGAACGGCATAGAGAATCGATTTTCAAGATAATCCAGATCGTAAATCAACAATAAACACAGTTAAAACAGACCAAAAAAATAAACAATTTAACTACATAGCTGACTTAACCATAGCAGAAGCACAAAAATCAAGGACAACTGAACAAATAAGCAAAATCAGATAGGCAAAACGCTCTTATTCTGAAATGCTCCATGTGGATATGTAACAGCCTGCAGTAGCTGAAGCACACAAAATGACAAATTAACAACACGTTAACAATGTGTAGGCTAAAACACAGAAGTTTAAAACAGATGCGCTGTATAATTAACCTACATTTTAATCGCCGTCTTCACGATTAGCTAATCGTGTTCTTTCAAATCGCAATTTCGATTTGAAAACGATTAATCGTAGACATCCAAGAGTATAACTTCAAAACATTTTTATCAAATTCTTACTGGAATCTGCAAAAGTATAAGACAAATACAACAAAACAGGTACATGTATATAGCGAAGGGGGGACATAGACTATACTGATGCTTTTGTAAATTACCTGCAGTCCGACCCTGATCCTCTTGGTGAGGGCCCCCTCAGGAAAAACTGCTTGTACTTGGGGGACAACTGTGCTGCTCAGGATGCCTCCTTCGGGACCAATGAGATTACTGTCTTGTTTGATGCGCGACACCACCGCAAAGTATTGTGGGAAGTCCCTAGTGATGATACGGCAAATGCGCTTCCTCTCTAGCTCCTCTGGTGTGTCCAGCTCTGGAGGAGGGGGCAAAAAAGTACATGAGCCAGGGACATACATGTAGAAATATAGAAATACATTTATACATTCCCCAACTCGTGGTGCAGTCTACTGGTACACCACAAAGAGACTGACCCTCATCCATGCCGTTGAGTATCTGGTTGAGTTCCTCTTGGGTGTGTTCACAGTGATGCTCCTTCCAGCTCTCTCCAGTCTCACTTCTCAGGATCACCAGCTCCCTCTCTTTCCCCCGCAAGGCAGCAAAGTGGGGGATTTCCACAATCACAGGACTGGAGGGGTAGAAGGGTAGTGCGTGTAAGTAAATACCATATGCCATACTTGGGACAAGACTATTTTTCTGTGTAGACTTTAGATTTTCCTGTCTTTACAAACATTTTTATAGAAATGTTTTTGTCTTCAAACAATAGTTATGGATGTAATCACAATTCTATGAAGTCTGGATCTTGGATTTCCATCATGAGCATGTCAGTGTAGTCACACATGTGTCCTGGATGATGTAAGCAACCTGACTGAGGCTGCCGCATCTGAGTCACCCAGCAGTTGTATGTTTTTTCTTGCCAGTGCATTTTACTATATGCATTAGTGTTCTGAACTTACTAAAAGACAGCAAAGAAGCGGATTATGTGGCAAGAATAGTTTGAGAAGGTGACTGAAGTTCTGCTTTGAAAATTATAGTAACTATTATTCTACTATAGTAACCACCGTAATCCATGTCAAGATTTGGGGATGAGTTACCCCTTTTGAGAAAAAAGTCCTTGAAGAACAACTATATTTAATACTTAATTTAGTATAAGTAGTGAACTGTCATTTTAGTACTTACCTGATCACAATAAGGCATAATCACAAAAAGCTAGCTACAACACATATATAAGAAGCATGCTACAAGTACAATCCAGCATTGGACAAACACAGCTATTACAGAATAACTGTGGATATTTGCATGTGATATTTAGAGGGTTCTCTGGCCTGACAGTGCACAATAATGTTTTTTTCTATTGTTGCTATTTTTGACAATAAACATTACATTATGTTATTTGAAAGCTATGCTTTTTAACTCATGAATAAAAACATAACCCCCCCCCAAATTCCCAATTTGTGATTTACACTTGGGAAATTAGCCTGTTGGTCAGCTTGCTATTTACATGAAAGGAAGGAAAACAGAGCCTACCACAGAACCACACCATGCAGTCAAATTTCACCTGGTTCCCTAGCTACTCACAGGCCACACAACCATTTAAATTTCACACGTAAATGAAGAAAAAAAAAAGTTCTTCTAACACACATTTATTATTAATACTGGAAGCATGAAAACATCAACACTGAAAAGGCTAAGCAGAAAAGAAGGATTGAAGAAAAAGCAAAGTAATGTCACAGCAATGTACCAGATGACACTAGTGCAAGCATGACAACACAGTAACGTACAGACAAAAAAAAACATCTAATGGAAGGGGTTCTAAATGGAAACACTGAGACCAGCATCCATGGATTGTTTCATATGGGAAACTGTTGATTTTTTTCCACCCTACCCAAGGAATTTTGTCCCCGGCGGGCCGAGCTGGAGGATTCTGCTAACCAAACTCTCTCCCTCATTAAGAGGTGGAGGGGCACTGGGAAGGTGGAGTTTACTGTGTGATCGACCAAGCGTCCGTACGCAGCAGTGAGGAAGAAAGAGCACACACAATGTTTTGGTTGGGTGCAAAATAGGAACCTTGGGGACTCATTTGAACAGCTGAGTGATTGCGGTAATTATAATCTGCATCTCTATGGAGACCAAAAGTGTTCAAATTAAATAAATAAATAAGAAACTATGAATAAATAATCATAAGAATAAACACATACAAACTATAAACATGAAATTATGAAATAATTAAAAAATAAAAATATATTATATATTTTTTTACTTCTTATGAAATGTTTTTTATTATCACTGTCAGTTTTATTTAGTTCCAGCAGTTTTTTCTTTCAAAATAACACAAAGCTATTTTTTTCCAATAACAGATTTACTTCATAAAGTCGGTCAATCAAGACAAACAGGGCAGGACCTGGAATGTGATAGGTTGTTGCTTTGGCATAAATAAGCAACAAACTGGTATTGCAAGAGAAAATAAAAAAGAATAAGAAATAATGCTGTTGGAATTAGATCAAAATGGCATGTAATACACTGTTATTGTGAAAACAAGGATGAAATAATATTTCATAATAATGAACTGAAATGTAAAAATGCTACACAATGTCAAGGTTATCTATAATTGTCTATTTATTCATACAATTATGTAAATATGTATAACATATTATTAAATACATATAATTTCAGATTCTTTTAAATATAAAAATCATTTCATTAAATAATTTGAACTCTTTGGGTCTCTTTCTAAGTTTTTATAAACCAATGAGGATATTTTTGCAGTTTCAAATATGCTGTAAGCAATGTTTCAAATGTTACCACTTTCATGTCAAATGACAAACAAAAAGTGATCATTTACATTCACAATTGGATAAATCATCTTAAGGGTAGAGTTAGGCAGGTTTCACTGTTACATAAACATAAAAACAACATATTTCAACAGTTTTGGTCAGGGAGAACCTCCGTAGTGTCAGCAGTGGATAGGTAAAGGATAACTGGATGATGCGTAATGAAAGGCCTAAACTGGAATGGCATAGATACGGTACTGGAAAACTCACAATCGCAGTCTGAATGCTTTTATTTTATAGTAACTCAAACATTTCCAGCAAAGGGCAGAATTTGAGGCCACATATCAAACCAATCATGGTGCTATATACTGAAAGGGGAAGTTAATAACACAGGCCTTTTCATTAAGGGTTGGGGATAAGGTTAAAAGAGTTAGACAGCAGCTGTTATGAAAGAAAACGGCATGCTGAAGAGCAAAGATTAACAGATCCCTGGTGCTGGGAGAAAGCAAGAGCAGACACAGAAACAGTTTTAGTAAGCCAGAGGCAGAGGTTAAATTAATCTGAAAGAAAAAGGGCCGCTTCGTATTGAAAGGGATAAAAAGCAGTGTCAATAGCGTGAATGTAGACTCCAGGTTCTTCCTGTTTTAGTCATGAGTTCTCCCTTCTCTTCCTTCTTACACTACAGATGCATCTTTAACAAACATCAAACACTTTTTAAATTCTAATTTTTCATTTAATTTCAAATGTTATTGGCATGGCACATTCAAATCTAAGAAGTAAAAACATGTAAAATATGAAAAAGTGCAGGAACCAGCATACACATTTTTCAAAACTTCCACTAACAATAAATCTACCTGCTGACTTTTGATATTTTAAACATTTCCTTCCATCTTCCTGTACATCTACTAACTTCCAAGGCACTCGTTCTTTCCACTGTTCCACCCGTGTAGCCTTACCCGAGGAACTGGGCTCCAGACGGCCCCACCTCGATGACCCTGCTGGCCAGGCCCTCGCCCTCAACCATTGGCGGCATGGTGGCCAGACGGTGCCTCTTCACCAGTCGGCACGTCACCCGTGTGGGCGCGCTGCAGTTCCTGGGCGGGATAATGATGCGTAGACCGTTGTGCCGACAACCACGCATGGCTCCGCCCCTGGCATCCACCATGAAGCTGACCAGGAAACTGAGGTAGGACAGGAGATATTGCCACAGATTAAAGACATTTATTATTGATCCCATTAAGTGATGAGAACATAGACACCAAAGCTTGTCTGTAGATTGTTTGCCTCAGTGCTAACCAATAGCAGTATCTCAAAGTAGAACATAGAGAACGAGTAGCTCCCTGAATTAGTTACTAATCCAAGATTCTATACACATAATGCTAATGTGGATGTTTTGTGTTGTCAAGTTGGAAGATTTACACATTTTAAACTACAAAAGGACTAAAAAGTTGAGCTGGAAAGTTCATTTTGGAAACAGCAGTTGACAAAACAATCTTAACTCACGGCCCATTGACCTGCTTGTTCTGAAGCTTCTGACCAAATACAAACAGTTGTCATCAGCAAACAGCAATTGAGTCAGGATTGTTTGGGCAAGAGCGGTTTTTATAGTATTTTATTTTTTAAATCCCTGGACAACAGATGAACGTTGCAACATAAGCCTTATGGAGTAAATTCATTTGTATTTATTTTACGTATATTTAAGGCAAACCTATGTAACTTTTGCTGAACAGCCACCACTGAGGCCAGAAAGGACACAATTACAGAAAAAGTCATTAAAGTCAGTTACAGAGCAATATATATAATATAGCTGCCGTTACATTTACTCATTTAGCTGATGCTTTTATCCCCCCCATATCCCCTGCGCCACCCCACATCACCACATTAGCCATGATATTCTACTGGTCTTAACTTACCAGACCAGGTAAGATTGTGGCAGCAAAACTGCTGAGTGACAGAGCAAAGGTGTGTTTTATTCCTTAAGAATTCCACTTTTTAATTAATAATAATATTCCAAAAAGATATACAGTAACACAAAGTTACAAGTGCTTTAAGGCAAAGTTGTATTTGTATATATATTTTGTTTAAGATGAAATAAACAGCTTATATAATGATAAGCAAAACTATGTACTAGGTAATGTACTATGTACTCATCATATATGATGAGTGATCTACTACTGATTTTGGTGTCTATTTTCTCAACACTGAACGGTCACGATGAATAACTGCTCCATCTCCATAAAGCTGCAAACTTATTGACTTCATAGCTTGAGACTCTTTGACCACACTTCCCATGCAAAGTGGCAAATACTGTATACACAATGTATCGCACATCTCAATGGGTAGGTATGGGTGTGATGAGGTGACATTACAATTTGATACCACACCCAGTTCTAATGTGATCTCGCCCTGGCTTCAGTAAAGCAAACAACAGCGTTTTTAAAAACACACAGACACATAAAAACACGTGTTATTGAAATTTTAAACTGTTAGAAGACAAAGACTGCTGTCCTCCATTGCTGAAACATAATAGTAAATAGTGGTTTACTTCAAAATGGCAAGAAAATAAAACTTTCTTTTCTGATTGACAGACAGCATATCAATAAGAACTTTTTCTTTGCTTTGCTTAAAGAGATCCAAGGTACATTTTCTGTTTATGATATACAATAATACTGATTTTACATACTGTAATAATACTATTTTTATGCCAAAAGATTCCTCAGGCTAACAAGGAACGTTGGTGGGTATGTTAGTGGAAATGCACAATTCACAAGACATTGTATGAAATCAAGAAACATGTCCTCAACTTTCACAGCCTCTTTTTGCCATATCAGACATTCTGGGACTCAGAATGTGGAGCTATTAATGGTAATATTTTGACAGTTTCTGTCAGATTAAAAGGATCTGACGCACTGTAAACCCAAAGAGAAAAAGTACATGAGGCTATGTCTGTTGAGGACAGTGACACATACACCTCTCCACCAGGAGAGCACACTGTGAGAGGAGGAAGAGAGTGATGAAGATGAGGGGGAAAATGCTTTAACCAAGGGGCAGAAGGTCACCTGCTGTGGTCTCCATGATCATGGCACGGAGAGGAATGGCTAAAAACAACAACCACATCAGACAGAAAAGAATCAAAAGTCAAGCAGAAACAATTCAGAATAAGAGGAACCCAGAGAGGAAAAACGGGAGCAGAAACGAGAAGGTCAGAAGAAGAAAAAGAGCCAGGTGGTTGTGGAAGACACTGAGCAGTTAAATCAATTTTTAAAAATGATAATCTACAGTAACAAATTCAACAAACGCTGACATAATAACTTAAAATTCAGTAACGCCTATGTGCTGTGGGAGACTAGTGGTGATTGAAATGGATATTAATACTACTTTCACCAGTATATTTAGCATGAACGGCAAAAAAAAACAGTATTGCAAAATTGTGGAATAATTACACAGAAGTGTCATTGGTGTTATTTCTGTAATGTGCAATGTCTGCCTTTACAGATAATTGATACACTGAATTTAAATGGAAGTTAATTACAAATTAGAGAAATGCCATGATTGAAGTCTATGAAGATTCTCAGTCATCCAGGTCATAGTTATCCAACGAAGGTTAAAATCAAGGGCAACTGGACTTGGTTGAAGATACTGGAAGACATTTCGTCCCTCATCCAAAGGACTTCTGAAGAAGTATGTGAAACATACATTCTCATTCAGTTCTGCAGAACTGAAGAAGTCTTCCAGTATCTTCAACCAAGTCCAGTTGCCCTTGAATTTAACCTTCGTTGGATAGCCATGACTAAATGTAATTAAACACTTGAAATATACAGTGTATAGTATAGTGTTCTATATGTAAGAGCTTAACATTTTTATTGTTTCACTCTTGTCTGTTAATTATAATTTCCTCCAGTTTTGACAATACAGTACCCACCCAGAATGAATGGGGCTGGAGGATAAAGCCACATTGTCCAGGTTCTCTGTGCCCCAACTTAGACGGTACGAATCCCTCTCATTCTCCCTGGCAAGTGATGAAACCTGGAATCAAACAAAGAACCTCACATTAGATATGTACCAGCTGAACGTAGCAATACTAACTAAAAATAATGTCTTTGCCAAAAGAATGAAAATGTAAAGACGGCATCATGTAGAATGGGCCCTATCAGTGTATGGATTATATTTTGATATTACTGGATCATTCGTATTGACACATACTTGGGTGTTGCTTAGGTGAAGCTAAATTTAATGACAGGTTGGTAGTTTAATTCACCGTATTTTACATGTTTTTAATGTAAAAGATTCATCTTCAGAGTAACTGGTAACTATCACTGTCAAATAAATCAGTGGAGAAAAAAATAACATTTCCCTCTGAACTGAAGAAGTACAAAGTAACAGAATATATAAGTAGTAAGTAAATAAAACTTGCAAGCAGCCTTGGGCGGGCCCTCGCACATGTAGCGCGTCGAGGTGTGACGCAGCTGTGTTGAAGATTCTGGATCTCGGCTGTGAATTTGCTACCCACTTCTGACACTGCACAAAGATGTTATACGTCACTTCCTGTGTCCCCTCGTGGCGCTACATAGCACTTGGTGCTATGACTATAACTGAATATTGGCATGTAGATGTGTTTAGGCCCGGACTCTTATGAAAAATGTCAAGTTTGGTACAGATCTGAGCATGTACAGTCAAGGTGCAACAACTTCCTGTTTATCTAAATGTGTAAAATCTGGTACAGATGTGAGCATGTACAGTCAAGTTACAACAACATCCTGTGTCATGGCAAAGAGTTTAACTAGGACGCCACGCCACTGCCACAACGTTGAACGAAAACTCACAAGTTTTACAACATGGCTTCATCAATGTGTTAAGGGTATTCTGGGACAGATTTTAAGTTGATATGTCCAACCTGCTAGAAGTAGTCCATCGTAGCATAAAATGTGACATTTCCTGTTGCCAGCAGGTGGCGCTATGACTTTGAGTTACTGATAGCAGATGGATGTGTTGAGGGCGGGACTCTTATTACTCATATTAAATTTGGTGCAGATGTGAGCATGTATCCTGAAGTTACAACAACTTCCTGTTTGTTGGCGAATTATCGATTTTCAAGGCCACGCTACGGGCATGCTCGTGGACGAAAACTCACCGTTTGTACAACTTTTAATCGTCAATGGGTTTAGAGTGCACAGCGAAAATTTAAAGTCGATCTGACTAATTCCCTAGGAGGAGTTTGTTAAAGTACAAAGTGTGTAAATTGCTCCAAGAGGCTTTTTTGTGCGTCTGGCCATGATACACGTACCACAGAAATTTCGTACACATAGGTCAAACTTTGTCCAGGGGCTGCTCTGTAGGGGGTGCTAGTGAGCCATTTTGCCACGCCCATGCGCAAACCCCCTAATATACGAATTTTTTTGCCGTGCCTGAAAGTTTGGTGAGTTTTCGAGTATGTTAATGCCTCCAAAATTGAGGTTACTTTGCAGAAAAGAAAAAATCCCATCAGTTTCAATAGGGACCTCGCATGGTTCGTGCTCAAGCCCTAATAAAGTAAAGCTCGTCAAAGTGGTGCTCAAGGACAGTACTTGAGTAAAAGTACTTACTTTAGTTACGTTCCAACACTGTTAAAACAGCATCCTAACAGAGATGTGCCAGGTTGACTTTTAAGGCTAGAGGTGTATTTCTATGCCTATGTTGACCATGCACTGTACCTGGTGACAGCTCAGCATCTCATCCATCATGCCTTCATGTTTAGGGGAGTAGTAGCTGTGGTGGGTGGGTGTGAAGGACCTGTCACAACTGGAGCAGAGAAGAAAACAAGAGTGAAGACAGAGAAGCTCAACCGTCAAGACAACTGCAGAGGTCACAGCAGGATGGCAAGTTCATGAGGACTACGGAGAAAGTTCACTTTCATTTCAATTCCACAAACATTGTGGAAAAAACTGACACTCTGTCAAAAACAGTGGATGTGGACAAGAGTTAGTTAATTTGCTCCGTAGAGCTCATGACTTGTGAGAATATAAATTAAGTACTGGTATTTAATGAGTGGACTTGGGCCAAAATGTTTAAATGCTGACGCTTAAACAGCAACAATGTCGTCCAAAACACCTCAATCAAAGATTACCAGCATCAAGTATTGTCTCACACACTTACATTTTTACTAACAGGCAAATATAACATAAAGATAATTGACAAGACTAAGAGTATGGGCCAAAATACTCTGCATCAGTAAAAGGACTGGTGGAACTAGTGTTGCACGACACTCTCAGGCCTATGTCTTATAACAAGCATTTAGATGTTAATGTAAGAATCTGCTGACTGAAAGTTAACAGACAAGTTAGATTTGTGATGGAAAAATAGAACAATCTAGAACATAAAAACAGAGGCCACCAAAGTCATTAGGATTCATCCTCTGGGAGTAACAACCAACACTGGCAACCCTAGAGCAGAAGACTGCTGGAGTTAAAAACAAAACAAAATCATGATTCAAATTCGGGGGGAAAGCAGAAATCAGACTTATTTCCAAATAAAAGTTAAATATCCAGTCCCAGGGAGACTGCTGAACTGGTTATTGTAGCCGTGCTGAAGATTTAAAAGGCCAGATATGTGGCCAGTGTCAGCACATACCTTCGCATTCGACTAAGTAGGAAGACCAACGATGAAGTATGAGCAGGAGAGGTTGCAAAACACACACACACACACACACACACACACAGAAATACAAATACAGGCAGTTAGCTGTAGAGTTTATTGTCCTTGAGAGGAAAGGTGTCATAAATACATGCAGATATACACACACTAATTCATGAAAAGGTTAGAATATCAGGGTCAAAAAGGAGCTCCATGCTTTAAAAGTCATAATTAAATTGTTGTAGTTGCTTGTTAAGGGTAAGTTAAACATGTGACAGAGTGAGTTTGGTGTACCTGTCAGTGCGTCCGCCCTCCAGGCTGAAGCGGAGGTAGTTCATTCCATCCAGATACTGTCCCGGCAGGGAGTCGTCTCCCAGCTCCCTCAGGTCCTCGGCCCTCAGATACTCCCCTCCGTCACCTGTCATCGTGTCATCGCCTTGGGAGAGCAGAGAGAAGGGTGGAGGTGAATTCATGAAAGAAAACACAACAAAGTGAAAAAAGGTACACCCCAGGCTTTTGGGCCACCCGGTTCCTGGTCAGGTTGACTGACTGATACAAACCTCAACATCGAATCAATCAAACATAGCTAAACATGTAGGCATGAAATATGTTAAGCAATAAAAGCCAACTAGTATTAACAAAAATATAGTAAGCACATCTTTTGCCTGTGGATTTAGACATTTTGACATGTCATAAACTGTGTCTGTGGAACCATTTCAGGTCATCTTCTGTAAAGTGTTCCGTTTCCTGTGGAAACTAACTCAGAGTGAGTCCATTTTTTACCTTGGAAAAAGTAGTTGGCAAAACAACCTCACCATTTAGTCTTACCAAGGACCATTTAGTAGCTGTTAATGAACTTTTGATTGTCAACTTCTGTTTGCAAGGTCAATAATGGACTTTCAATCTCTAGTATAAGTAAGATAGAAGACACAATAAATGTCTTTAAACCAAGATGGATGAGACGTTCTTACAGTGCTCAAAAAAAGGAAATTTGAAAATATACAACTGGGCAAACTTAATTTGCGGAGGGAGATAATCACATACTATGATTAAAGGATCCTGAACAGCAACTGAATGGAGCTTGCGACGAGACTTTCAACTGTAGCTCAAGGTCTTTATCAGCAGATAGGGTTTGCTCAGTGAAGCAAAAGTTTACATGGTATCGAAGGTTGCTCAGAGAGAGCAAATCCCATCTGCTGATGTTGATGATGATGTAAATCCCCCCAAAAACTAGTAAGTGGACCCTGAGTTAAGATTATTTTGTCAACTAAACAAAAGGCCAGTATGATCTAAAGCCTGATGAGCAGGACTTTTGATAAGGTTCCTTCAAATTATTTTTTTCAACTATCGTTATAAAGAAATGTGCAGGGCAGGACATTATATAGCTGAAAAGATTCATCTCTACCTATATGTACTGTCTGGTGGACAAACTAAGGTGACACTTTCCCAAAACATATTTGCATTTATCGAGTGCCTTCCATTTGTATAATAATATTTTAGCATAAACTCAGTTTTACTTACTTTACTCTACCTAACAAACTTTCCAGACATAAGAAAATATAATGTTGGCATACTTACCACGTAGCCTAGTTTCTCCCTCCTAATATAACACTACAGGATTAATTTATTATTACCACATTTTGATTCTAGTCTGTGTATAGTTGCAGTTACTCACACCAAACAGATGCATGTTATGTCACCATTATCTACGGCCTTGTGTTTTCTGCACCACAGTGACAAAGCTCTACTGCTGTTCCACTAGCAGACAGCAGGGGGTAGCATCACTATTGGCTGCAGGTTAACCTGGGCCAAACTGTTCTGCATCTGCATATTCAAAGGACTGGTGGAACTTGTCTAGCACAATTTCCACCCCCAGGCCCATGTGCATTAAAAGAAGATAAATTGAAACCAAAATGAAGTCTTTCAACAGACTTTTAGATGGTAATGTAAGAATCTGATGACTTGTGCTTGTACAGATGAGTTATATTTGTGATGCAAATGCAGAACCAACTAGTGACTTTAAATGATTGCAAAGCATTTCAGCCTTTTAAGGTACTAAATGCATTAAGGATGTTTCTTCTGTAACGCTACAGTAACAATGTGTCCCATCTCTAATCCTAGTTAAATACATTTTCTACTTATGGTCTACTTAACACTGCGTTGGTTAGACATCGACATGAAATAGAATTGTACTGATTTATTTCCACAATAACTACTTTTCTGAGGTTTCAATTTGATTTTTTCCCCCAAGTTTTTAATTTATTGCTAAGATTTTATTTGTACATTGCATAAATTCCAGAGCAGTAGCTGGTGGCCGTGGCAGGTCACATGGGCCTGAGAGTGCAGTGTGCGAGGCTGCAGCCATGTGATATGTTGTAAATGTGGGAGCTGTAGTTGACTTTGGCTCAGTTCTGGCTGAAAGCATTATACTAGGCCAGCATAACAAGTGAAAAACATACTGTAGTTAGACAGAGATGTTCTGGTGCCATTAGTGTACTGGCTACCTGGAGAAGGAAGAGTGTAAGAAAAAATATCCTTCAGTGAGTTATCATGTTCATATTTAGTAGAACACAGCTACAGGCAAAGCAGGCATTTAAGGCATGGACTGAGTTTCCCTACTACTATTTAAAGGTACAGTGGGTAAGTTTTAGTGGCATCTAGTGGTGATGGTTGATTATTGCAACCAACAGCTCAGTCACAGCTCAACTCTACCTTTGCAAGCGCGTAGGAGAAGCTACGGTGGCCGACACGCTCTGTGCCGACATGCTCTTGTGTTAAATAATATGTGTGGTCCTCCATTTGTCCTAATTTCACTTACTTCCGATAAACCAGACGACTACTATTAATTCTACTACTACTACTACCACTTCATCTTTGTACATATTCAACGTAGTCACGAAATACTCTCTGTAGAGCAGTTTGTCTGTTTGGGCTACTGTAGAAACATGGTGATGCAACATGATGACTTCCATGTAACAGGACCCGCGGTTATGTAGATAGAAAAGGCTCATTCTAAGGTAACAAAAACATAACGGCTCATTATGTAAGGTCTTTAAACACCATTGAAAACATTATGTATTCATTTCTGTCAACAGATCACCCTAAATATTACACACTGAACCTTTAAGTAGGTCACTGTATTTGAAATGAGAAAACATACAATCCATTTTTTATGATTTCTAATACTCACTCGGATTCCAAAGTTGCCTTCAACTCTGCAAAATACATCTCTGGGCTATTTGTCATTTGGCATCTTGTCATACTAATGTTAACATCCACAAGTTACAGCTAATAGAGCGGAGCCTGAGTTGCAGTAGAGAGAAGTTTAGTAGCATTCCAGGGAGTCAGTATTTCCTAATGTACTATTGTGGGGTTGGGAGAAAGCTTTGAAGTGACAACACCATGAGTAAAGTCTTTAGGGGATGAGTTTTACTGTTGTAGTTGTCTCTCTGACTTTCTCCTACTTCTCTGGAGGATAAACATTTTCACTACAAAGTGCATACAAAGTGTAGCTTTGTACACTTTGAGAGAATACCCTGTAGCAAAACAGCATTCATTCCAACACATAAAAGAATACTTCAACATATTCTGAAATAAGTTTAATTGCTTTCGATTGATAGCACTCTCATATCACTCTCAGGCAATTAGCCTAGCTTAGCATAAAGACTGGCACAAACAGATAGCCTGGCTCTCTGCGTGTAATTCCCCTTAAAACCACAAAAAGGATTCTTTTCACATTTCTGTTTTAGATACAACAAATTACAACACGTTAATTATTTAGCTTTACATTTGCCTGTAGGTGCGTTTTTGAATTTTGGATAGTCAGGTAAATTGTTTCCCCATTCTTTATGCTAGGTAGCTTAACACAATGACATCTTTTTCTCCACAAAATTCAGCAAGAAAGCAAATACTGTAAGTGCATTTCTCAAAACTATTCCTTTAAATATACATAACGAAATTATGTATTTAAGCTTTGAGCCACACTGAATTTCTAAAAAGAAGTCCCTCATGAAGGAAATCTTTTAGGTTCAGTGCCGTGTCACTGGTATCCACATATCATATTTACAGTTAGTTATGTCGAATTTAACCACAGGCTCATTCACAATGCATAACACGTCACCCCGCTCCTGGTAAAATCAGTACAGCAAGTCCTCACACAAGATCCCAGGCTAAATACCTTCCATATCCATGGGGTCGTCTGACAAATCATCGTCATCATCAATGGATCTCAGTGCTGTGGGTTGACAGCACAATCACTCACTACCTCCTAAAAATCAGCTAATGTCAGCAAAGACCTCTGAATTATTCTCAAAAGGGGGACAAAATGTAAAACACAAGTTGGGCTTAAAATAGAATTTGGCTAAAACTAATGTGGCCTGATACCGATGTCAATAGCAGATATTATATACTGACATACTGAAATGTTTTCCTGCTAGAAAAAAATGAAATGAAGTGTGTAAGGGTGGCAAAGCATCTACAACAGTGTTACAGTCTGTATTAAGAGCTAATGAATGTTATAGTACTAGTTTGGTTAGCAAGCTCAAAACAGCATTAATCAAAATCTTTTGCCCACCTAGAGGCAGCAAAACAGGTTGCGAACACAATAAGTGACATACAACAGTATCACTTTATGGTTGCACTGTCACATGTTTAACAGTTGCCTGTTTATACTTCGGACACAGAGTAGATAGTATACTAGAATATATTAGGGTTGTGCACTGGGCCACCTGACAAATCCAGTATCCACTCTGCTTTTAGCTCTGTCTTGATCTCTGCTACCTACAGAAGGAAATATCTTCCTCTTTGGATGTTACACTTTCTCATATAGCTACTAACTAACTTTCTCTGTTTGGTTCTGGGCTCTGTGAAGCGGGTTAATCAAAGCTCTGTGGCTGACAACAGCTGTCTGCTGCTGCTGCTGGAAAGATGGCTGTGACCGGAAAAATTGGCAAAACAACTACAAGAGACTAAAAAGCTCCGTAGAGCTAAAGGGAACTGCAGAGTCGGGCCAACAATTCAAAATTTGTCATTAGTGCAGGTTTAAGGCAGGGTGAGGCAGATTTCATGGGTGATTTTTATTTTCAAATGTGTAAAAGTTTACAAGCAGTAATGAAAATATTATATTCACGAGGTGTAGTCAGGAGGTTCTTGTGTACAATTTGACTCACCCTCTTCATCCGAGACATCCAGCACTTCAGTCATGGTCTCTGGCACGTTCAGCTTGTGTTTCTCTGTCACCGTCTGGCAGCATGGGAGGAAAAGGATCTCATTAACCGTAGTTCACACCATACACTCAGTTGCCTGTTCATGTTCGACATTGTTATTTTGGAGGCTTGTGCTGGTGTTGAATGAAATTGCATTATACTGAGGTCTTTCTAATTGTTCTTCTCTGTCACGATCCTGTCCTGAGTGCTGTGTTTTTGGGTTTTGATTCTGAGGGTTTGGTTTTGTATCTGCATGTTAATCCTGTCATCTGTTCCATTTAGTTCTGAGTTTATTCATTTCTCAGTTTGGTATCTGTTATATAGTCTTCGTGATCTGTGTTGTTCTTTTTTCTTGTCTCCCTTAGCCACCCTGTAACCTTATTAGTTAGAATCCCTTTTTCTGTGCTGTTAGTTTAGACTTAGTTTTAGTTTGCTAGCCTTTAGTGTGCGTCCTCTACCTGATGTTGCTGTTTGTCTGGTTATTATCTGTCAGCTGGTGTTTTGTGGTGTTTTGGTATTTTCTTGATTTCAGTTCTGTTCCAGTCTCATGTATTAGTTTCTGTACCATCATGCTTGAGTTCTGTCTACTTGTCTACTTATGTTCTCTTCCAGTTTCATTAATTAATCTGATTTTGTTCATTCTGCTCTAGTCTCTGTGTAGCCTTTATTATTGTTATTATTCATCCACATCTTTAAGTTACTTAGTATCTGTCTTGTCTCATATCTTAGTTCTTAGTCCTGTACCTTTAGTTCATGTCTTAAGTGTTTACTCCTGGTTTGTGTTGTTTTGCCCATGTCTGCTCTGAGTTCTGTTTAACCTTAGCTTCTGTCTGTCTGTTCCTTGTTGGTGTTAGTTTATTTGTGATCTGTCTGCTTGTACTGGTTTATTTATATTACTCTGATGTTTAGTGTTGAGTAACTTGTGTTTTGTCTTTCCCCCCCTCAGTAATCTGCCTGCCTGCTTGTCTCTCTGTTTCTCCCTGCTGTCTCTCTTCCTGCCTCATTTGCCTTGATCCCTGTCACCTGTGTTGTTCCCGCCCTGCTCGTTAGTCCCTGTGTGTATTTATACCTGGTGTTTCTGTTTAGTCTTTGTCTGGTCATTGTAGCATGTATACACTGTCAGTTATCTTGTGGATGTATTCAGCCTGTTTGTTCACCCAGCTTGTTTCGGGATTTTTGGTTGGATTACCTTGTTTCATTTGGACTCTGTTTATTGTGGGAAAACCTCAACTCTGCCACTCTGCCTAAAAGTGTGCTCGCCTTTTGTTTAATTAAACCTTTGAACTGAACCTGTCAGCATTTGGGTCCACCAACCTGCTCACCCAACCACGAATCCTGACATCCTCATTGATATAAATAGGGTGAAGATAACATTTGAAACAGCAAATCGGGGGAGAATCGGTGATTAGCATTGTTAAGTAATTGTTAATTAACCGTAAATTAAGCAGTCCAACATGTGAATCCTTAGTTTATATGGAAAAGGAAAGCAAAAATCAATAACATATCCAAAGAAATGTAGTTGGTAGTTGGTACATTACAATTGGGCTAAATCTAGTTGAATTGTTTTTATATACAGCTGTTTAAACTTTATTTTACTGTATTTCAATGCATAATTAGGACCTACTTCACATAAAATATAGTCATTTAAATACTGTTTAAACAATGATTATAGGAAAGTAGGCGTTTTTTTATTAACTATAGTTTTTAGCCTGGTTTTATGAACAGTGGCCAGTTGTTACAAAGTGGTAATAACTGAATGATGGCACATCAAATTGGTCTTTATCTCCATTTATATCAGTTGCTTTAAAGACATAAGATGATCTGACTGAGTGAAACGTGATCACAAACCTCAGACATGCCACTGTGTGTGCTTCTTGTTTTACTTTTGTGACTTCTTCTGAGAAGTGTGCTAAGATTTGCCAACATTAGACACCATGAGCTATTGGTCATACCAGACCAAATAAGGCTGTAGTAGCAGATTTTTGGAGCCTATTTAATTGAGTAAGGGTGCATTTATTGCTTGTGAATTGCACTTTTCATTTTGTAAGTGGAAGAATGATTTCTTTCTTCTTTCCCAGCTCACATAGTGTTACTTTAAAATATCAAGTGTTTTCTGCAACAGTGCCCAATGTGCTCTAAGCAGATTTGCATGTTTTCTAACCAAAGTGCAATAATATGTCACATAATATCTAGTCAGCCTTTTTATGGTTAGTTATATTAAGAATACTAACAGAGCATACAGCTTGTATTCAACCTGTTATCCACAAGCATACATTTCCCATCCAGCACAGACCAGCTATCTATAACATAACCATGAGATTATAGTGGGAATTTAACTGGAAGTTACTTAAATGTTTTAGGTGACGTACCGTTGTGGTGGTAATGATCTCTTCAGTGACAACCCTCAGCGTGTCCACCACAGAGATGTAGCCCAGCCTCCGAGCAATACCCAGAGCTGTGTTACCATTCTGCAGAAGAAAGCACAGTGACTGAGATGTGTGTCTGTCTACGTACAAGTGTGTGTGTGTGTGTTTGCTTTTTGTATCTGTTCCCATACCACAGTGATAGCGTTGGGCTTGGCACCGTTTTGCAGCAGCACGTTAATGATGTGTGTGTTTCCTTGCTGGGCTGCCTGGTGAAGGGGAGTGTATCCATTCTGGGAAGGAAAGAATACAGAAGATAAAAGTGAAAAGTAAATATCAATCTTGCTGTAACAAGATAAAACATGTTATTACAACCATTTTTGTCCTGCAATAAGATGCTGTAGAAATGACTTAACAGAAGAAGCAGCATGTCAGAAATAATAATAGTGGAATACAACACCAATATAAATATTGAATGTTAAAAATCGTACATGTGGTGCTTAGATAATAATGACTATCTGAGCCCCACAAACATTTACTTTAGCCTCAGTACCTTGGTCTTGGCGTTGACACTGGCTCCATTCTGAAGCAGGAAGCTGACCATCTTGGCGTTACCGTAGTGACATGCCACAATGAGCGGGGTGTATCCCAACTGCAAAACAACAGCAAATCTGTTATAATTCTCTAATCATGAATAATACAAAAAACATAACACATTGTGAAAATACTGCTATGGGACATGACGATTTCAGAAGAATATAATTTTTAAATAACCAGAAGGCATGAAGCTAAATGTAAATGTATAATATTGCTCATACTTTGGTCTGCTGGTCGAGGTTGGCTCCGTTTCTGGCTAGGATCTCGGCAACAGCCACTTTATCCTCCTGGGCTGCCAGATGGAGGGCAGTCAGGCCACTCTGCATGAGGAACACACAGAACACTTTCTGTTTTCACAACAGTCCAATTCAGACCACATTCTGTGCATTCTTTCTTGTTGAATAAGATAATGTAATTTGATATTGCAAAGAAATTTGCTATTTTATTATTTTGTTAAGGGATGGTTTAATGTAGACTATGAATCACAGCATCCCTGGTATCTGGCTGGGCACCGTTGTTATACGTTGGTCCCCATCTCACTCTCCCATTATCTCCTGTCATCCCTCTAATAAAGGCATGAAATGCCCTAAAGCTCACCTAAAAAATGCTGAGTTCAGGTTTGGTTTAGATTTCATTACTTGATTGATTTATTGAGATTAAAGATATTTAGACTTAGATGGTAGCTAGTACAGTATGGGAATAATCTGTCAATGACTTAGACATTCCGATTTTCCCCAAGAGTATTCAGACATACTGTAGCTTAAATAAACAGTAGCAAGGCACAATAGCATAGGTGAACTCGCTTCTTATGGAAATTGTCCTTGTGATGTTGTGTTGAGGATTAATTGATGTACTGCTCAAATCCAACGCAGGTTTCTATAGTACCTTAGTTGGGATGTTGATCTGGGCTCCCTTGCTCATGAGCAGGGCAGCCATGTCTGCGTGGCCCTCCTGGGAGGCCAGATGGAGCGGCGTGACACCCTGCTTTGTCAGGATGTTGGTTTCGGCTCCGTACTGCAGCAGCACTGTGGCGATATCCATCTGGTTCTTCTTAGCCGCGATGTGGAGAGGAGTGTAGCCATTCTGGTTCATGACGACAGGGGGAGATAAAGTGCTGGTGCTCAATGTTTACTGAGACTGCTTGTTGTTGACTTTGTCAGCTGAAAACCTGCTGAAAAACCAGCAGGAATCCGGCCCTTGAAACAGCCTTTGTTTCAATTTAGGTTGTCCAATTGTGTTGTAAAACAATCTTATAATAATAAAGTGTTTTATACGCCATATAAGATGTTTTTTAGTAGTTTCAACACACACACAAGTCCTTTTGATTGGTATTTAAGGATACGGCTAGCTGTCAACAATTCACATGTGCGGAGCCAAACCAAACCAAATCTACTAACATGTACTGTGTGTTTATCAAAGCCTGGTGTATCTTCTCCCTCTGTACCATAGAGCTATATTGCTGTCCAAAAACTATTAAAAACACATCAGTGAGCTTCACTGGGAAGGAAGGTCGACGTTTAGATAATCAGCAGAATAATCAGCAGAATAAATTCCAGGGCAAGTGACATAGCAGCACTTGCCCTCCCTGTCACTCCAACTGCCCCTACTGGTTGTACTGGGCAGCTCTGTGTAAGTGTGATCAGGGTGTCCCTGTAAAAGAGAGTTGGTGAAACCTCCCTGAATAAATAACGGTAAAAGAGAACCAACTAATCGGGAAAATTTTAGGTTCTTGGATTAAAAGGGTATTGACAATTGACACTGAATGTCTGAATACTAAACTTAAAACTAACTTAAACTCTATGTCTAAAGCCTATATCTGGTTACATTTAGGCAAATCTGCATCATGAAAAGTCATGCTGCCTTGCAGGTCCTGTGTGCACCGTAACAGACAATCGATTTACTTTTGATACTGAAAAAAAGTGTGAATCTGATTAATATGAGGCAAGATCTGTTATTTACAGTTTACTTATTATTATAGACAGTAGTTATAATAGTTAATTTGAGCAGTATTTTAATGATGGGAGTTTAAGGCAGATATTAGAATTGTATAGAAAAGAAAAAAAATTACATTCTGGCTAAACTGTCCACTACATGTAACATCTTACACTAGACTATTGCCTTTCCACTAAGCCCTCCGATTATCTCCAGCACAGTGTCCACAGCTCTTTACTGTGAACTCTCACCTTAGCCATGGTGTGGGGGGACGCTCCTTTGTCCAAAAGCAGGAGTGCCACCTTCTGGTTATCGTAATGTGCTGCGACATGGAGCGGGGTGAGGCCGTTCTGTTAGGGACGGACGATGGATTAAACAGCAGTTAGCGCAGCACCAAGCCGTTAACACCGCAGAGTTAAAAGGAAGTGTTAAAGGGGATAAGACTGCATGAATTAGAGTTATATTAGACAGTAGAAGCTGGAAGATCACTGGGTAGGTCCTTATTATGATGAAAATTTTCAAAGAAATTAGTAGTATATAGTTATTTTTATTCAAACAAGGCTTACCAGTGCTCTAGTCAATTTAACCACAAAATAGAAAAATGGAAACACACCATTTCCATGCAGGATAACATTTACAGAATGGACATGATTCCCTTTCTGTTAGATTTAACATCACACACAACATCTCATAGATTGTGCACTAAAAACTATAAAAGTTAGTTAGAAAGTCTTCATTTTAGATACATACCTTCCCAGCAGAATCTGGTGGAGCATGACGCTGGAGCAGAAGTTTGGCTACATCTAGGCTTCCGTACTTGGAGGCCACATGCAGGGGAGTAAAACCTTTCTGTGGAGTGTAAAAACCAAGGGAGAAGGGAGATTAAGAAATGTGTCTAAAGACAGTGAATACAGGATATGTTTACGCAAGTTAGCTCAGGCCAGACCTCATCAACAATAGCCATTTTTATTCTATTCAAAAGTTTCAGACCTCTTCACCATTATACATTACCTTCCATTTATTTAGCTAACACTTTTTCCAAATCGACTTACGATAGGTACAGTCAACCATGTGGATAAAACCCCAAAATTACCAGAAACTTGCAACTACACCAATTGTCTCAAACATGGTGACCTGCTTCAAGTGACAATAAGTATTTTTTAGGAGGATTTCATGCTGCAGTAGATCTGTAAATGCTCTGGACACAGAACAGCTGCAGGATTCACCTCCCAAAAACAAAGCTTGTGATTGGCTGAGAGAGTAAAAAATAGCTGCCAGCAATCTCACATCAGTTTGGTAAACAGATCAACATGAACCTAAAGCATTCAATGACTGATTATTGAGTGTAAATATCTTTAATCACAATCAATCAAGTAATGAAGTCTTAATCAAACCTGAATCCGGCACTTTTTTAATGCTGCGCTTCAGCATTTCATGGCTTTATTAGAGAGGGGGGAGAGAGACGAGAACCAACTTGTGACAAAGGTGCCCAGCCAGACACCAGGGATGCTGTGATTCATATTCTGCGCTTTAAACCGCCCCTTGAGAAAATATTTAAGACTATTTTCATCCATTGTTGTGTGGAAAGATACAAAATAAATCTAAAATCTTTCCTTATAAGGGCTTCACAGACAAAATATCATCAGATAGGATTTCCTGAGGCCTAATAGGTGCCTGTTTTGTTAATAATAAAACAAGAACCTGCGTCCTGACATGCTGATGCAATTTTAGGCAACCTTAAACCAAAAATATTAAATAGAGCCCTTGAGCTTTCACATTCTTATCCAGCAGGGGGTGCACTTGAACTATTTTAAAATGCAGAACAAGACTGTGGCTGACAGAAACCACATGACCAGCGTGTTTGCGACCCAGCCCTGCCCACGGAGGAAGCAATCCTTTGTTTGTCAAAACCTGGGTTATATCCACTGCAAAAGGTGATTTGACACATTTTTTTTTTAAAAGGATGGAGAAGAGAGGGATTCTTTAAACACAATATCCTGAGCAATTCAAGGTGAAGGTCTATTATGAGCTGAGTGAGCATTAGATATGCATAACAACTTTCCCTGATTTGGTTTCCGTAGCGACAGCCACACCCTTCCTCCCCAGAGAGAAACCCCGGAGAAAGACATCAAGAGCGGGAGAGAGGAGAACCACTGAACTCTGACAAATACACAGCATTAATAGTATATGAATGAATTACAGGCCTAATCTGTCCTACTGTGGATGCAAAGTGAAGATTCTGACGTGACGTGGCGCGTGCAGCCCCCCCTGGTGAAAACACAGTGATGACGATAACTCACTTGACTGTGTTCAGGCTTCATGCACTTTTCAGAGGAAAGCCGCAGCTTTACAGCCTCATCAATCATTCAGCAAAAGTGGGTCAAACAGACAGAGACCTACACATACTGTAACCTCTTTATCTGAAGAGGGCACCATGGGATCATCACTTATCATACTGTAGCTGCACTTATTCTTTTATCTGTGCATCTGGTACTAACTCGCTGGCACTGCACCTTTGTTCCAACCTGCTAATCTGTTATCATGAATCCCTAATTGGATGTGTGCATTTTCTGTATCATTGTCAACACATTGGGTTGTTTTGTTGAAGAAATTGTTTGTTCTTATTATAACAAAAGCCAGCATTAGTGCTACCGTTAACTGCTACAGTATATAATCCATCTATCCATCCATCCATTGTCAACCGCTTATCCTGCGTACAGGGTCGCGGGGTACAGTATATAATGTATATCCTATTTATTACTGCTGTGGTAACCCGATTTTTCCACAGCAATACTTGCCATTTGAACTTTGGTGGCACTAAATCAACACACTAAGACACAGTACAAAAAACATGACCCCAAAATGCATGTGTTGTTTTGAGGATGAGCAGACTTTGGCATCTGATGGCTAGCACCTCTTTGTGCTAGGAAAATGTACAGTAGCTTAACAGACTGGAAGCGTGGACAAAATGCTAACATGGCTCTGTCCAAAGTGAAGAAATACAGTAGCTCCTGCATGCATTTCACCATACAACCTTGTTGTGTTTGTTAACAACAATAACTAGTGAGCTTTAAAGGTGACGGTACATTAGGTGTATGTTTTCACTCTGTGCTTCACACGCAGGCATGAGACTGATAATGAGGAAAACAATTCCTTGAACTCTAAACCTCATAGACTTTGCTTTTACATGGCTGCCTTTGTTCTTCATGAACCTCAATGAAATAATTACATTGCTAACGCTGAATGCTCCTAGCATGCTTCGAGTAGTTAGTGTGCAAGTCCTCCAAGTTAAAGGAGACCTATTATACTGCATTTCCAGCCCTATATTGTAGTTCTGTGACTCCTGTATGGTTTATGATTACATGATTCAAAGTTCAAATAAATCCTGGCTCTTCATGTAGGCCTTCATTTCAGCCTCTGTCTGAAACAAGCTGTAGATGCTCCTGTCTCTTTAAGGCCCCGTCGTTGGTAGAAAAAGCTGTTCAAAACAGGAGGAAATCTGAGGTTTTTGCTCACAGGGATTTCTTTTAAATATTTTAACCTCATTATTTGAAACTTTGTGTTTAACATGAACATCCAACATTGCAACATTGTAGGTAAGTCATAAAATATGGAAAAGCATAATAGGTCTCCTTTGAAGACAACACATGTCTCCTTGACCCACCTTGGTAGCCAGTGAATGCGACGCTCCGGCCTCTAGCAGGACAGAGGCTGTCTCCACCTGCCCCTCCCTGGCAGAGATATGGAGGGGGGTGTAGCCGTTGGTTGTGGCAGCATCAGGATGGGCCATGTGTTGCAGCAGCAGCTGCACAATTTCTGTTTTTCCCAGACGGGACGCAATGTGGAGGGGAGTCTGGTCCTCCTGAAGAAGACACAGTGGAAAAAAATGAACACTTTGTATGGTGCCATGTTCCCTGGTGGGCTACTATAGATGACAGTAGTCTCACCCGTGCCCTGGCGTCCACCATTGCTCCGTTCCTCAGCAGACATCTGACCACCTCCACCTGACCTGCCCTGGCTGCCATGTGTAACGCAGTTTCGCCACGCTGTTCACACAACAAACGGCAACACATGGGTCAGCAGGGTCAACACACACATATTAAACTGTAATATGCATCAAACTAGCTGACCAACCAAAAATAACACAAGTATAAGACAATGCATTATTGCCCACTCTGTCACTTTCCCTCTCTCTGACCGGCTTGTTTCCCATCACTCACGATATTGCTGACGTCAGGCGAGGCTCCGTTCTGCAGCAGCAGCAGGACGATGTTCAGGTGACCCATGAAGGCTGCTACGTGGATGGGAGTCAAACCAGACTGGACACAGGAAGGAAAGTAAAAGAGGAACAACAGGATAAGATGTCATGTGAAACATACATTTGTTGTTCAAGGAGAGCTCATTAAACTTGTTAATATGCAAAATAAGACATCATAAGATATCATCTGGCAATTTTTAGCAATTTCGGGCAAGCAAATGGCTACTTTCCCCAGAGCATAGGTGCCACAATTGGTAGGAACACTATTCAAAAAACAACATAGAAGATAAAGGAACTTCTTAAGATATTTTTTTAGATATGTACTTTAATTTCATTCTTGCAAATTATATATGTGCGCATTAAAAAGGGAAGAACTAAAATAACAAGTTTTAAATAAAAGCTAAAAAGTATGCTAGACAAAAAATGGATCATCCATATTATTTAATTGTAATTTAATCCCCAAGTTAAACAGTCCATTACATCTACCACTTTCCACTTTCATATATCTGCTTTAATGTCCATTTTTCTTTCAGTGCTATGTAATTATTAGGAAATCAGCATAAAAGGTAATATCTTTGATGTTGATCAGATTAGACAATTAATAATTAGCCAGATCAGGATCTGTATATTTACATATGTCCCTGCAAGGTCCAATTACTTGTCCACATTAATCCCATTAATATTATTATTGTGCCAACTGTCAGCTTAATGTATGATAAATTTTAATTACGCTGTACAATAGTTGATTAATTTCTCTTTCACTCCTACTTCAGTATCAACCTTTCCAAATATTAACTGGACAAAAGCACAAATTTCTGGTGTGCCGCAGATATGCTATCAAAGTTATTCTGAGTCGCCCACCCGCAGCTATGGGCTATCTCACTTTTAAAAGGAGAAGCAACACAATCTTCCTCTTAAAAGTCAAAAATTTAACTCATTAGCAATGCAACTCACCTTTTCTCCCTTCAGTACACTCAGGTGTTTTTTCTTATTTGGTCTTGTCTTATCTGGTTTGGCCAATAGCTTATGGTGGCTAACGTTAGCAAATAAATATTGCTGTGTAAAGGACAGTGCTGAGTCAGTTTGCTTATGTGATGACTCTATTTGTGCTACTCTTTGTTTTATCATGATCCAGTAGTTGTCAAAATAAAATATTCACAGTATATAGTAAAAGTGCTTCTGTTAGCTTCAGGCAAGTTTAGCAGTCATTTTTTAAGCACCTAAGCTGATATTTGGTTATGTAGATGGATGGATAAGATCCATCCATCTACATACGTATTCATTGTTGTTTACTTTAAGATTAATTGAATATTATTGCTCTCAATATTAATGTAGACAATTTAACCTAAACTATCATTAACCTCCTGTATCTACTACTATCTAGAACTCCTATGCTGGTGGTCAAGCCAGAGATATGATACCAACCAGCCCTGACCCATCTACCCCGAGTGGGTGCAAAGAAACATTTCTGCTGACTTCAGTTCCTCTCAGATGTGTAACGTACCTCAGTAATGGCCTGGATAGAGGCTCCATATTTGACCAGCAGCTCCATCACTTTCACTCGGTTTTTCTTGCAGGCTATGTGCAGCGGGGTGAAGCCATTCTATCGGAGAAACGTGGATCACACAGACACACACAGTAAGGGATGAACCTTACAATATTTAACATAAGTAAATGTTCACCTTAGCCTTCAGGGCCTACTGAGTCTATACAGTGTACATAGCTTTTGACTTGTATCTTATGACTGGTTAAATTTCCACAGGGGGATTTAGTTACACGATATCTTTGTAACGTACCAGTGCCCTGGCGTTGGGGTTGGCCCTCTTGTCCAGCAGCAGTTTAGTGACTCTGTAGTGACCACAGTGAGCTGCAACATGTAACGCTGTCAGGTAGTCCAACGTGACATCATCAACAGGAGCCTTGTGCTGCAGAAGGTGTTTGACGCATTCGACGTGGTCGCCTTGTGCCGCCATGTGAAGAGGAGACAGCCCATTCTAATATGTGAAAGAGAGGTCATTTAGTCTGATAGAGACACATGGTAGGAGGGCCGACAGTGTGGCTATGTTCTATAAATACACTGCCTCTTTTATCACTGTCCTGGATGTTTATGAAACCATGATTACTGAAAGAAAGAAGAAGAAAAATCTTTTTAAGAGCACAAGTGTGCCTCTTTATTATAGTTAGCAGCTAGCTGGTGAACACAGTGGAGCATTTAGCAGTTAGTTAGATATTTTTAGAGTTAGAGAGCGCAGAGAAGAGTGAATATTAGACTTACGTTCATCAGATGGACACAAACACCACTTCAAATGAATGCTGTTGTTGCTTTGTGTCTACTGGATGTTTTATAGGCAACTGCTAACATGTTAGCAATATCAACCTTATTAGGCCATAAGGTGCCAATGTGTCAATGAAGTCATTAATGCAGCTTTAAAGAGTTTTAATACTGTTGAAATGAAGCATTTTAGATGAGAACATTGTTAAAGTGCAGAGATACAATAGGTATTGGACATGTTTAGCCTAGCTTAGCACATAAACTGGAAGCAGGGGAACTAAGAGGGACAAGAGCTCCGCTTGCTTTGTCAAAAGTGCAAAAATATATCTTCCAAGAACTCCAAAGCTGTCTTAACTACATGCTGTACCTTTTTTAGCTAGCACACTACTGATAAAAACATCCAGTAGTCACCAAAATGCTGTTGTTTGTTAAATTGATCCAAAGTAAACTGCTTTTAAAACCACAATGTCTTATATGTATCTCTGTTTCTACATCTGCTAAATAAACTAAACCATTGTATTGGATATAAAGAGATGACACTGCTTTCAGTCTTCTCATCTGACTTGGGTAAAATCAGAAAGTGTCTTTCCGTAAAAGTCACCGGTTTAAATGAGTTAACGAACAACATGTGCTGGACTACTTCATGTAGAGAACCTTATGTTAGGAAATGATAACTTAGAAGAGGGTGGTGTCTGTACTCTCACTATTTTGTAAAAGTAAGATTTTGTCCCTGTAAAAAGTAAAAAGTGAATGGACATGTGACGTACCTTGGTCCTGGCCAGCAAGGGTGCTCCTCTCTCCAGCAGCAGCTCCACAGATGTATCATGTCCACTCCGAGCCGCGCAGTGAAGGGGAGTCAGACCATCCTACAGAACACACAGAAACTTACTACATGCTGACACTAACAGTGATTTAACTTTACTGATGTCCAAAGTTAGTTTGGTCAATTGAAGTCAGTGGCTGAACCTGAAAAATACCTAAACAGCTGCTATAACAAAAGCAGTGTTCCTCCCTACATGCAGATGTAGCCGGTGACTGATCCAGGCTGGATGTTGTTTTTATCAAATACAGCTAATAACTGTCCTGCTAGCTGGCACACAGCAAAGTAACCCCAAGCAGAGGTCAGGATGTTCAGTGTGATACTGAATTTGACCCACTGAGGTCCAGCTGAACTGAAAACAACATCATTAAGCTCACATTCACATCTGTCGTCACTAATGACAATAATGAGCTGGTAATTTTGTACTCCAGTGGCTGTAGTAGCAGAAACATTTGACTTATTTGGAGGAGAGAGGAGATGATGGCTATTAAGCTGTAGTTTGGAGACAACTTCCTAAGATAAGATACCATTACCGTAGTTTTGTTTCTCATGATACTCACCCTTGTTTTAGCATCAATCTGAGAGCCTCGGTCCAGTAGCAGACCAACCATGTTAGTGTTGCCACGCTTGGACGCCACATGTAGAGGAGTAATCCCATTCTACAGGGGGAAAGAGAAAAAGTACTTTTAGTGACAGGCAGACATAGATACGTTAGGTATTGAACATATTAATTCCTGAGTGTTCATTACTGATATTGAAATTGAATCCGCACTCATATGTTCTCATACTGTTGGATAAGAGGGGTGATTTTATTGTAACTGATTTAAAAATATGAATAAAAAACAGTTAAAAGTAAAATCTCACAATTAACCCTTTACCGCCAATTGGCGTGAATTTGCATCACAACGCTTCCATTCAGACTGCAGCCGAGAAAGCTTATGTATTCCCCCAATGGCAGTTGGTGCATATTCGATACGTACTTAGGAAACTTTAGCAAGCACTGGTTTATCGTTTATGCCTGTTGTCGCTAATTTGCATCATACCCTACATCATACCTGAATTTATATCTATCATATGTTCTATAGACAAATTAACAATCTCTACATAATTTAGCATCAGCTTGAAAGCAAATGAAAACACAAATAATTAATTTTCCTTTATAATTGTAAATAAATTCAGCCGTCAAATTAAATCCCCCATCATAAAAAAACATGTACCATGGTTAAAAGTAATTACTAAGAAGATAAAATACATTAGCAAAACTTAATTTAAAGTTTAGTATTTAATTTAAGGTAAAGGCAGTTCACATGAATTAAAATAGCAGACAACACTTATTAAGTATTCCCTCTTGAAGCATATTAACAAACTCATTTAACATTTTATTTTGAAATAAAATATATTAGCATTTGAATGCTCATCTTGTGTCACATCTATGTTGACGGCTCTTAAATTTATACAAACTAAAAGTAGGTTTGCTTATTTCCACTGAAATGCAATATTATTCCCACATGACCTGCCCTCGTTGAACAAACTTTGGTTTTGTCTTAATTTCACCTTGAACCAAGTCTGAAGCTGTCTCAAACTTAGGGATTGTTTTCTGCAAACAGACTGAGGACGAGCGCATATTCCCAAACCTTTTACCCACATAGGATTTCAAATCTCTGCAACCTTCTTGGACGCCACACAAGCAATCCCATGAGGTGTAGGAGAAATGCTTCTGAGTGCAAGGTGTGTGTTTTTTGTGCTTATGTTTTTTTGTCTTTTGAAGAGTGCAAAGTGAAAAGTGAGCTATTTTTATCCACACTGCTCACATGGCTAAAAATAAGACATCTGAATTTGTTGTCTAGATGATATCGATTAAAGGCCAGACATGAAGGTGTACTGCTGAGTTGGCTGGGGTTGAGGAAAGAGATACCTGGCCATTTCAAAGCCTCAGTTAGAACCACTTTGTCTGCGTTTCTTGATCCATGAAAAGACAAAATAAAGAAGGCTTTGTCTGTGTATATGTTGATTTCTAAAATATATTTTCATACTTTAGTTGCCATCCACAGGTACTGTAGAAATGTTTCTACCATGAAGGTTAGGTGTGAGCAGCACGTTAGCATTTCAGCAGCTTCACTGCTCAGTCTGTGTCTACACAGTTCAGGCACAGTATTGAGTGTAGGTCCCTCACGATTCTGCAGTGCTGAGAGGCCAACACACAATCACTGTACTTACATACCTAAAATGGAGGACAATAATACTTTAAATGTAAAAATATGCTTCACTTTGCGTTTACCTGTGTGTATAGCAGTAAGTAAGTAAAATATCAGCTGGATGACTGAAAACAACATCTTCTGCCTGGACACGCTGGACAGGCAACTAAAATATGCGGTTAAGGTTAGGTGGTTAAGGTTAGGTTTAGATTTGAGATTCTCAATGGCTCCCTCCACCCGAGTCCATTGACTTTCCAATTTGGAATAGGTAGCCAAAGGCAAGGCACAGGTAAGTGCATGTCACTCAAGACTCATAATCTGGACCAAACCAAGAGGAGCCCTAGAACAACAAAGTGGCAAAAAGAGCAGAGGAAATCAGAGAAGGAGAATGCAGGAGAGAGATGAGTCCCCAAGGTGGACCCAGTTGGAATTAGGTATTGAAGCGAAAATGGTTGGTGTAAAAGGATGGATGAAATCTATATTCTATAATCTGTATTGTCCCATGGTTCAAGTGAGTGTGGGCTGTGGGTCAAAAGAAGCAAAGAAAAGAATCCAATTAAAAGATGCTACAGGGGTTACATGGCTAGGTCGAGGCAACTACGTCACCTGGTTAAAGCTGCAGTAGGCAACAACTGAACATACACAATTGCGTCTGTCTCTGGTGCTTGTATCGCTCCTCTAAGCCCCTACCACCAAACCCACGAAGAAGCTGGTTGCCCTGAGAAATTTTATCCCTCGCAAGACTCTCCATGGAGGGTCTTGCCCAGATCCCAGTCTCTTATGCCACCACTCATCTTCTCCAAGAAGGCCCTTCAGGGTATAGGCAGCTGCGATGTCCTCCACCACACCCAGACACACCCCTCAAAAGTTATCATCAGTTGTTATCATGCCTCTTTACCACTCGTTGATATACTGTAAGCCCCATGGCATTTGACCATAATGAGTCTGAAGCTCCGTGTGGAGCCGGGTCATGTTTTGTACTATACGATGGTGTCAGCAAAGCAGGGATTTATTTCCTTTTTACTGCTGGTGGCCATCCCGCCGGTCAACTTTGTTGACCATCTATGCCCTGACGTCCTTCTCTCTACAAAAAGGACACACTACTACCTGCATTGGCACCAAACGCTGGCACATGAAGCAGTGTGCACTGCAGATTTATATGAATTCACATAAATGTGATTAATAGGAATACTGAGCTAAAAGTGATCAGTGTTTTCTTCATTTGCTTGCCCACTGAAATACGTTTTCTTAAGTTAATAGAGATTCAGCAGAAAAAATAGTCCAGTGAGTGTCTCAGTAGAGTTATAGTGTCTTTCAATTCACTTTTCAAACCCAAATAACTGTGCTTGGTGTGGAATCATACCCTCGCTGTGAAGTCGACTGCTGCCCCTCGGTTCAGCAGGAGGGTGGCCACATTGACGTTGCCATAGTGGGCAGCGATATGCAGGGGTGTGAATCCACTCTGGAAGACAGACCGGAAAGCGACAGACACACAGAGAGGAGGAGAGAAGTCCCACATTAGCCTTTACTTCATGTCCTTGAACTTTGACTCATGTCTCTTGATCTTTGGTCTTCCCAGCATGCAGCAGTCGCATTAAGCATCACAGGTGAACAAAAACTAAACTGAAAACAAAGAAAAAGGAATAGTAAATAAAATAATCTAAGTTAATATCCAAGTCAGAATATGTAGCACCCACACACACAACCCCAAAATACACTCAGACATGTCACTTCCATGCGAGTTACCAATAACAGAATCAAAAGTAAAAGAAGGCCTTTACTCAGCTTCAGAAACAATTTGAAATGAAAAGGACAAAAAGCAAAAAACAGAGGTACAGGACACACAGATTGTCATCAAGATTGATTTGAAGATGGACAAACAATATTAGCTACCCAAACAACACCAAATTAAAGTGGTGCATTATGAGGAGGGTACATTTCTGATCAACACCAAAGTGCACTATGTTAACTGTATGTCATAGAACTATTAGAGTTAGCAATGAGAAATATATGAGAAAAGTTAGAGATTGCAGAGCAGATTGAAGTAGTTTTGAAATTCTTGCCTTACCTTGCCATTCTGTAAGTGTGGTCCGATTTAATGTGAAAAAGTTGTTTACAAAAGTGTGAAGAATACAGTGACTAACGTGATGGTTTAAAAACTTTACACAGTCAAAAACTTAGAATGGTGCAAATTAAGGTAGCGTGGATGCAACATGCTATTCAGTACCAAGTGTTTGGCCAAGCAGGTCATATTTGAAAAGCTTAATAAGCTTCCCATGCCATTACTGATTAGAATTTATTGTAGTAGTAGAAGCAGTAATTGTAAGATCTTCCATAGATAGCATGCATTTGAAATACTTGATCAGTAAGCTTTATAGTATAGAAGACCAGGTCTGCCAATATTAAAATAAAATAATTTTTTTAAATAAAATTTTCCATTTGTGTGTACATTAAATATGTATGGAAAAAACTACTCTGCTAAAACACTGACACAAAGATTTAGCATGAAATGAACTCTTCATTTTCATTCATTTCTTTTTCATTTCTGGACAGATCTTAACAACATTTTTGAAAATTTTAATTTTCAGGATCACATAGGTTGTCTGCCCATTTGAAAAATGGAAAAAATCTACACTGATAACGACATTTTCATTTTGGAAGTATTTACGCATTTTCAAACATGAAAATAAAAATGTAATTTTCAAATCCATCATATATCATGGGCACACAGATGGAAAATACAATTTAAATAATTTAATTTTTATTTTGACAGCTCTGGACCACCATACAGATATAGAAGTATATTGTATGCAGTATATTGTAATATTTGTAATAATTTAATCTATACTGTTTTAAACTAAGTAGTCCAAAGTGTGTCTCTAGAATCATGCAACGAAATAAACAGAAAAAATTACAAGACAGACTAGTGGACAATATACATTCATAGTTGTACAGCATTCATTAAATCAAAACCTGGCAGGGAGAAAATGTAATCATTGAAAATAAATCAATAAACTGTATCAATAATGATGTTGTTTAGAGGTATTGAGGGTCACATATGACAAAAACAAAAGGGGCTTTCTGAGCCGGTGATACATTTAATATAAACTGGGAACAAAAATGTAAATGCATACAGACAGAGTATGAATAAACCAAATCTTAAGCCAAAAACTAAAGATAAGCAGAGTTTGTGCAGTGCCTCAGCGCAGGACACACGGCAGTAGCTTGGCCATTCGTGTCAGCCGTGCATGTTGAACTGTTATTATATATATTGGTATTATATTATACCAAACCAAGAGAAACTGTGTGGAGTGTAAAATAAACCAAATGCTTCTTTATTTACGCCATGCAGTGCTGTAGAAGTGAAATAAATAAACGGTGGAAGGAAATAAAATTGAAATAACAATGGGATGGGACTGTATTATGAATCTGTGGAGAATTAAAGGAGCGTGTGTATACCTCAGTAGTCCTATTGACCATCATCTGAAGCAGGAGGAATGATGGAGGGAAAGATCAGTTCAGTTAGGATTGTTTAACACATTACTGCACTGGAGCAGCTCAGAGGCAGCTGTGCAGTCAGATACTAAACTGGCAAGCGACGTGGCTGGGGTGGGTCACTTCCCTTTGATGTGCTCTCAGTACAGCTGATCTCCAGTTCACACAGACTAAAGACTTGTGGAGACGCAACTAATGATTGTTTTTTATTATTTAATTATTTGTATTTGTGATTAATTGTTGAGTCTAAAATAGTGAATAGTGAACAATGCTCACTGCAAGTTCCCAGAGTCCAAAGTGATATCTTCAAATGTCTTTTTACCCCCCAAGCAACGGATTAAAAGCCACAGATATTCAAGTTACAAAGACATAAAACATAGACATAAGGTAGAAAACCATCACTAAATGGTTGCTAATGTTGTTAATGTTATGACCCTTCTCTACTTGTGCTGATGTTACACTCCATTTTAACATATCACAGATGGACATTTTATCACAAAAGTAAAACAAGTAGTTAAGGGAAAGTCAGTGTACCATTATCTTGTAATTGTAACTTCAGATTAGCAAAATTTACAGTCTCTCTTCAGAAGATAATTCCCCCATATTACAATTTGGGTTGTATTTTTGTAGCTTTGGTCATCACTTCTTATGGTTATGATAACTCTCCTCAAAGAAATTGCTGAGATCTCAGAATACGGTAACATTGTTACAGTTTAGTCACACAATCAGACAGGCTGTAAATCAAACAACTGTTTAGCTAGATAATGTAAAAATAGGAAAGCAGTCAACACTCTAAACTATGGCTAATTTAACTTCATGTTGAAAGGCAGTAATGTAATTGTCGTTTTCTCTTTCAAATGAGTTCGGCTAACCTGAGGGTTTATTTACAAACCACACAATGTGTTTCTACTTGTGTTGCTTACCCAGCTGGATTTCTTTTAACACTGCCGCTGCAATATCATTATTACCAATGGCCAAAATTACATAGATAAGACCCTAGTTATAATATATTATTGCTCTGACAGCCCCATTTTCCAATAAGAATGAACTGTGACGTAAGAGGACCATTTCAGATAGCGGCCACTAGACTGATTTCCCAATTTTTTATTAGAACTGTGCCCTGTGTGTGACAGCAATATGTGTTTTGTGTGTGCATGTGTTTGCGTGTGATTGTACGTGCTGCCGTTTATGGCCTCCTCTGGGCCTTTCTTATGACTCATATTGAGCAGGGCTGCATCACAACAGATGAACCACATATGGTATTTTGCTTAATGCATGCATATACTCTCCCTCCACTGTGTTTTGTTACATCACAACATAATTGGGACCTTGATGAAATATACTGCAGTTATTGTAGAAGCAAAATTTATTATTCAGGAAGACTGGCAAACAAAATCATCTTCACTCTAGCCACGTCACAAAGCCGCTGTCTGGTATCAGAGGAACAGTCGTAACTAAAAATGAGTCTTCCTAAATTAAGGGGTAACTGAATTCCCACCAGTACCGGATTGGCACTTAAACCCTCCCATCCCTTGCAGATGGTCAAAAAGCAATCTTAAACACAACCTCCACCCCTCCCCTCCACCCCACTGGTTGCATGCAGTCATAAATATCACCACCATACAACCTGCAGACAGTGGCACACTCCATGCAGTGGACAGTGCTACACTTAGACACCGGTGCAGCGAGGTAGGAGGGGGTGATGGGGGAAGTGTGTGAGAGGTAGCATTTAAAGAGAGAAAGGAAAAACAGGGAGAGACCCAGTTAGTGGCAGGACCAGGAGGGACGTGGCAGGCACAGAGACACTGAATGAAAGAGAGGAAGAGAGAAACAGAGAGGTGCACAGACAGACAGATGGAGACACAAACACACTATACGCAGGTACACAGCTTCAGAGGAAGTACATCACAATAGGTTAGCGGTCTTCTGTCATAAACTAAATCATACATACTTATATTAGGGGACCCAATTTACACCTGCTGTGATCGGTATCTAGAAAAGGAAAAACTTGCCACCACAAACAGACATACATGACATCTAATCTGCCAGGCCGCATCCATATGGAAGATTTTATTGGACTTTAATATTTGTAACCCACAGAAAACAATCCACAAATGTGTTCTATGATGCACAAATATTTCACTATCTACAAATATGTATTTTATCAAAAATTTGTGATTTGTAAAATCATATCCACAAAAATACAGAGTGACTTCTACAAACAAAACAGTTTTAGCACATTTGCAGATTGCTTTCTGTCAATTTGTTTGTCATGTTACATTTCTGACTTCCTTTTTACGCATTTGTGGAATTTTGTCCACTCTGTACCACAGAGATCTGTAAACAGAGATCTGTAAATGTGAGAGCAGTTTATTAGCTGCACCAGCAGGTGGCAGTAGCAGCATTGCCTCTCATGAGTTGTAAGAATATCCATTGCATTACAAAGGGTCATCTGTAGGAGACAACTACTTATGCTTCTGCTGAACCACTGGATTTTTCTGTACAAGTGTATATAGTTTATAGATGTGAAAAATTTGAATACCACTCAAGATTTGGGTAAACCACAAAAAGTCTGAATGCAAGGCAAGACAATAAATATACTACTGTGTACCTAATGCTTTGTCCTGTCAGTATGTATATATCTTGCACAAAGTTTCATCTTTCTCCTTTTTTGCCCATATGGACTTGGTTTATTAACACTGTTTGTACTGATTGTATTTTACCTTTTTTGTGGGGAAGAAGAAATGGAAATAAAAAGTAATCTTTTTAATCATTTCACGTCAAAAGATGTTATAACTTAATTGAATTGCAGTATTCCTGATACCTGGGCTTTATAGAATACAGAACTTCTCTGTTTTCATATACTTTTACAAAGCTTTCTTTCATAGCTCTGACAGGAAGGTGTAACATATTACCAGTGTTGGGCAGTAGCGTTGCTACAAGTAGCGCCGTTACTAGTTTAACTACATTTCTCAGTAGCTTGGTGGTGGCGTCGCTATTTTCTGAATCAAATAGCTTTTCAGTAACAAAGCTCTTTTATTGACCGAGTAGACAAAGTAAAAATGTGTAAAAAGGAAGTTACAAATGCAACATGACCCACAAATTGACAGAAAGCAATCTGCAAATGTGCAAACTGTTTTGTGTGTAGAAGTCACTCTGTATTTTTATGGATATGATTTTACACATCACAAATGTAAAAATACATATTTGTAGATAGTGAAATATTTGTGCATCATAGTACACATTTGTGGATTGTTTTCTGTGGGTTACAAATATTAAAGTCCAATAAAATCTTCCATACATCCAGTTGACAGAACTGGCCTGGGTCAGATTTTAATTGTAATCTACTCAGTGTGCTCATCTTAGCATTTGTGAGATACAATTTGGAGAGCAACTCAGATTTTCTTTCCAGTATTTCCCAATCCCATTTTTTCCCCAACAAGCCTTACAGACTGAACAAAAAAAATAGGTTGCTGTTGCCTTCCAAAACAACCCTAATGAGTGTTTTCTGATCTGGCACCCCTACTGTCCGGACATCCTTGTTTCTCAGTGACTTCCAATACTGCTCATAAAAAACTGTCACCTCTCTCACTTGGTTAAGGTTTAGGGAAGATAATGGTCAAAAGGTCATGGTTAAAAGAAACCAATGTTAACCAATGCCATTGTAGAGGTTTTGTAAACACTCATTCAGTTCAGTTCAAAGATTCATAATCACTGATGTAATTTTTCTAAAATCTTTCTAAGTTAAGTGATCACATCACCGTTTATCGGTACATCAATGCACACACTGTGATGTTTGGTGCACCTTCTGACTGTAATGAGTACAGTCTGTTGCTGGTTCTGTCCTAAACTACCTAACCTTGTCCTAACCTTTAAAAGCGCTGTTTATAAGGTGAGCTCACTTAGTTTCAACACATTTACCATGTGAAGCAGATATGCTCTGTCAATATATAAAAAAATACCATACTGCAAAGGTAGTTTAGTCACCAGTAAAGTAAGCAGCACTGCTAAAACTTACTGATGCGATCAGTAACATGATTCAGTATAGTTAATTCAGCTCAAAGATTTAGTGTTAAAGATTTGTTAAGAGACAGTATGGAAACTGCGGAGCCAAAGTCTCACACTTTGTAGGTAGTCACAGGTAGAAATGTTTTCCCACACATTACATTTGTGCACAGAAACATCAAGGCTTCTGGTAGTTAAGGATATCATCGCTATGGGCGCTATGAGTGATCATCACTGTGGGCAGGAACCTCATCACTGAGGGTACCAACGTCATCACCATCGGCTGTAATGTTATTACAACGACTCCAGCACCGCCCACACATCAGAAGTCCACATAATTGGACTGTAACATCACCTTCCCTGTAATTGTTTGTTGCCAGCTTTCCACCTACTCCGCTATTTTGCATAATGAACTAGAAAAATAAGACCATGTCATTATGAAGATAATGAGAACAGCATGATTAGGTTGATGATTATCAAGATAACTTATCCAGATACTGATCACATTTTAACAGCAGATGTAAACAAGGTCTTTCCATCCAAAGACTCTTATAGGACCCATGGGTGAACCCATTGTTAGTCTGCCATTGACATTTGAAAGCACTAGACTAGTTTTAAACGCTTTCCCTTCTGTATTCTGGACATCTGATCCTACTTAGCCAAATCCACTACAGTCTCATTTAATTCATAGACTTCCTAAAAGTCCTTACAACCAAAGTATGGACACATTGGCACAAACGCGTAGAACCACATTAGCTTGACTTCCACACATGCCAACGCTTCGGAGTCAAACAGTGCTATGGGCATACCTTCGACTGGACGTCAGCATTGTGGTCGTTCTGGAGGAGCAGGGCAGCTGACTTGGTGTCATCCTTGCGGGCAGCAATGTGCAAGGCAGGAAGGCGGACCTTGCCTTTAGTATCGTTCTCCAGTAAGATAGAAACTACCTGGTTGTGACCCTGCTGGAGGGCAATGGCTAGAGGGGTGAAGCCATCCTGGATGAGGGGAGGCAAGGATGACAAGGCAGAGGAGAAGAAAGGTTAAGAGAAAAGGCTAAATTTCATTTTTCAGGAATCCTTAATCTGGAAATATACAGCAAAGTGTTGCTGTAATATTTCATATGACAGGATGGGACTATGCTGTTTCAGCCACTAAAGGTTCTAAATATGAAACTTCTGTGTGGGAAGTTTCACTGGTTGTCACGACCCCCCGGTGGTGACCCTGGCCTTCTTGCTGGTATGCGTATGAATGTAGTTCTTGAGTTCTTTTACCCTTTTGGTATGTCTGCTGTGTGCTTGGTATGTTTTTGTTTTGCGTCTGTCTGTGTTCTGTTTTCTCTCTCATGCTCTGAGACTGCTGGTGGGCGTGGTCGCCGGTGCTCCTGTCTACTCACCTGGGCTCATCACTTCAATCAAGCACACCTGTTCCACATCCAGCAATCTGCTCACCCATAAAAGCCAGACCAACCGTCCAGTCCTGGATTGTTATACCATTTGGTATGTGCACATGCCAGCCAAACTTTGTCTTGAGATTTGGAATCTTGTCTGTGTTTGTGATTCTGAGAGTTAATTGAGTTTTTCCCTGTCTTAACTGCAGAATACCAGCCTGGACCCAGATTACTCACCAGCACCACGAGATCCAGAGCACCAGAAACTGGACCAAATCCTCTGACCAACCAGGACATTGACCGCCCTGCCCACATCTCTATTCGCACTTGTTTTGAATAACTACACCTGGCCTCTGGTCCTGACACTGGTGATTGGTTAAAGGAGACCTATTGTGTTCTTCCATATTACTTATTACTTATCTACAGTGTTGGATGTTAAGCTACGGCACAGCAACGCTCAGTCTGTCTGTACCGCTCAGCGGCAACAGCCTGGTAACGTGCTTCAGGTTTTGGCCAATCAGAAGACAGTGGGCTTTGAAAGGGGTGGCCTTAAAGAGACAGGAGCATCTACAGCTTGTTTTAGACAGAGGCTGTAATGAAGGCCTACATGAAGAGCCAGTACTTTTTGAATCATGTAAACTGCCTTAAAGGAGTCTCAAAACTACAATATAGGACTGGAAATGCAGTTTAATAGATCTCCTTTTAACAGTACTGAAAAATGTGTTTTTTTTGTTTTTTTTGTTTTTTTTTTTTTTTAGCCATGCTAGTAGTGGGGTGTCAATGTTCATTGGTCAGTCAAGACGTTGGTCCAGACTTAAATGTCTTGACGAATATGAGATAGATGGACACATTTTCAATTATTCAGTTAAATGTCTCAACATGTCCATGATTGATTAACACAAAATGTGCTAGCTTTTTTAGCCATACTAGTGGGATGACGATGTCATTTAGTCATTAGGCCCGCTAATTTGTGTGTCTGGACTAGTACTGAATGGACTGCCATGAAATTTTGTACAGAGATTCACAGACGATGTGTCCTAATAACTCTGACCAAATACTTGAAAAACTAATGACGTTCCCACAATCAGATGTCTAACTAGCCAGTGATATACTCTACACTAGATAGAAATTCATTGTGTGCTATTCAGAAATCGTCAGACCAACAAAAAACGGCGTATTGTAAATATTTGTTAATCGTTATTCTTCTATACTATTATATATTTATATCTGTTTATTACATATTTACACATTTATTTATGTCAACTGTCTATGTTTGCATATGTGTAGCACCTTATTACCAAAGCAAATTCCTTGTATGTGTAAAAAACTACTTGGCTATAAAGATTCTATGATTCTGACTCTGATTATACTGGTACAGTAGAGCATTGCACAAATGATCTGCGGGCCTGGTTGCTTTGGAGGGATGGCACCCTATACCGTCTGCTTGATGGTCACAGCTAAATAGGAGATGTGATACATCTCTAATAATCCCTTTCCTCAATCTGGTGCTGTCCAGCAGTTCGTTTTTATTTTTCACCAACAATGAAAAATACCAGGCAGTATACTAGACCTATGTCATCGTCTTATTAAATACACTACATAAACTGTTTCTGAAACTTTTTCCTACCTCTGTAGCAGTGCTCTGGTTGCCTCCATTCTCCAGAAGGTATCGCACCACATCCAAATGATTCTCCTGGGCAGCCATGTACAAAGGAGTGAATCCATTCTACAGCACACAAGCAAATACAAGACGTTACTACTAAACTACTGGTCATGAAAAAAATCTTTACTATGTACTATATTTTTTCAACAAAGTCCAAAATAAACCTGATACATGACAATACAGGAGGTGCTACTGTCGGTGGCCTTTAAGAGGCCAACACCTGCAGCAGCGTGCAGAGGCTCACCTGAGACTGTGAGTTGATGTCAGCTCCTCGTTTGACCAGGATCTTCACGACTTCCACCTGACCAGCTAGAGAGGATATGTGAAGTGCTGTGTTCCCTTTCTGGAAGAAAAGAAAACATAAATAGCACAATGAGGAGAAGTATTTCCTTATAAAAACAAATCATATCACCAATACATCGAGCAATATTTAATATCAGCATTTTTCTTTCTGGACTAATCTTATTAACCTCATCTAAACCCGGATTATAACAAGTTCCGCTGTGAAGTTATGCTCTACAAGAGTGAATAGCTCTGAGTATTGATGACTCCCAGTCTTAAAGGCAAATTAATCTGTTACCATTACACAGTTGTGGTTGAGAGTAGAATCTCAAATCAGCCTGCCAGAGGATTAAGTTTCATAAACGCTGATGTCTCTCTAATCATAATACACTGCAGTTAACAGGCCACAAATACATCCTGACAATGTGTTTACAACAGGAAAAGAGCTTGTCTGTTATACTTCTTGGGTGCAACTCAGCTTACTCATATATGCAGTAGTCATGGTTATTTAAGTATTTATATATCAAGTATTAATGACATGGCAAACTGAGACAACAGTTCATTAAAACGGTTACATTTAAACAATTTGTTTTCCAATGCCTAGAATGTTCCTCTCTAATGTTCCCTTAATAGCACCCTTTGGATGTTTTGACCACTAGTAGCTCTGTGGAGCAGCTTTTTTTCCAGTTGTTCCCTGTTACATGCATGTGTGCGCACACAGGTGACATGGTTTTGCATTATTCCACTGACCTAAAAGTGCAGTGCGTCTGCCTGTTTTGGGGGAGGGGCTTTGAATGAAGGGAGGGGGGGGGATATTTTCGGTTGGATACTTTCAAAATCTTTCTGTCTCTTGGTTGTTTCTCCAATGTTGCCTACCCAAGCTTTAACATGCTTCTGTTACTAAACACTAAATATAATACAGTACAATGTCACATATACAGTATGTATGAAGGGGAGAGTATGCATCTGCGAGTTTCAATGATGTTACTATTTGGTAATGTGAGTGTTCACAGTGTTCACAGTAACATGAGAGATCAAATATGAATTCAGCTTGGGACCAAAAAATGTATTATTTGATCTCATAATAAGTTTGCCTGATCTATGATGAACTTCAGTGCTGACCTGAAGAATGCAATACATGACCACATGAGAGGTGAAAGTTGGACATAGGAATGACACCGATACCAAAAGGTAACGAATGAAAGGCAGTTAAAGGGTCTTATTAAGGTAGTATTAAGGTGGAGAGCACTGTCACACATCACTCTAAAATCTTCCACAGCTCACAGCTCAAAAGAATAACTAATAATAACAAAAATGAATGTCTGTGAAATATTCTACGGATACAGACATTGCACCTGTAGTGAAAGGTATAAGATTGCAGGTATGGTGTCTATATGATCAACTATCAACAGATGATTTTCACTAGGCCGAAAAAATAGGCGAAACACCGAATCTCTAGATGAGCCGTGCTGCTCATGTGGGCTGTGTGGCTGCGCTAACCTGTTAACATGGGTAGGCGGTGTGGCCCGGGCGTAATCCTCCAGCAGCTTTAGTACTACTTGGCATAGATTCTGCAAGTCTGTGCGACTCTACTTTTAGCTAGCTGGCGGGCAACTCTATTGAGTCACCAAGTTTCTAGCAGCAGCTATTTTGCGAGGACATGGCTGAACTTCACTGTTCTACTTTCAGGTGTGATCAGGCCTTGAAAGTGAGGATATCCACATTAGATATCCCAACCTAAAGCATACCCTGCTTATTGGCTACTTTCCTCTAAACAGGACGGAAATGTACTAAATGAACATCATACTGTATTGAAAAGGACTTGAAACTGACAACTGAGTTCAGAAATTCGTAATGAAAGTGTTTACTGAGGTAATAAATCAGGTGGGAAGCTCATTCTGCCATTATTTCTGATGGAACAGGGCTTCCTTTTGTACTTGAGTCGCCCCCTGCTGGCTGTTGGAAAGAATACAGGTTTGATCTGAACTCGATTGCTGTCTTTCCATGAAACTGAATCTTGTGGATTGAAATTGAAATAGAGGAAGCAAATTTGAATTGACAGAGCTTAAAGTAAAGGTATATAAAGACTTGAATTTTTAGTGGGGCCTAAAAACAGTTTCAGTTGCAACTAAATATTATATTCAGTTTCAGGTTTATTGGAATTAATTAATTAATAAAACTAATAAATTCAATTTCAAATAATGCTATTCAGATTCAGATTTTAAAATACAATTATTGAAGTTTAGCAATTAATATTCAGACTGATACAAATATCAGCCCATAGGAAAGTGTCAGCAAAAGTAATTTTGGTTGAGTGAATTAATAACTGTTTATTAGATTATTAGATTATATTCATTTGTGATTTCAGGGTTAGAACCCTCATCAAACACTGATTAGTCCAAAAGTTACAAAAAATGTTTTTAAAAACTGAACACACTAGATGTGTACTGTCAGTATATAGCTTAGCTAGTGTGTAGGAGTTTCCACTTATTTCTTTTCAGGAACTGAAGTTCGCTCAGCGGGAAGCTGAGATAACCTACCTTTGTGGCTGAATCCACTGCTGCACCTCTATCCAGCAGCTCCTGGACCAGATCCACATGGCCCTCCTTGGCTGCCAGGTGCAGTGCATTAAGACCATTCTGGAAAAACATGAGGGAGGAAAGGTCAGGCTCAACGTCCACCATCCAACATTAACAAAGAAAACTCTTAGAAGAACAATAGTGTGTACGCTGAGTCAGCATTCACATGAATAAAAACAGATCCAAATGGAAATAGAAGAGATACCTCCTCCACCACATCCATGACTAACTGGGCCTGCCCTTCTTTCTCTGTTTCCATCTTTTGATGGCTGTCCTTCACTCCGATATGAAATATCAAAGCTGGTTTGAGCTGTGCCATGTTATGCTGTTGTGGAGCAGAGCCAATCCTGGGTATGAAGATATAAATAGCTGTATGCGAGTATGTCTGTGTGTGTGCAGGTCAAGCAAACATCCTCTTGTTGTCATTGGTAATGATTGGTGATGGCTGAGACAGTAGATAAATATGGGGGAGTCATTTTAAAATAGCACAAACCAGAATCACCTTTTTAAAAAAGCGTACAGAGGCTTGTCATTTAGTTAAAGATTTGGCATATTTCGAATGGCAGATAAGACAGCAGTAATTGCTTCTCTTTAACTTGACATACGCAGTAGCTCAGAGTAGTTACATTTGAATTGTTAATTGATAGTTTGCCTAAACAAATGAAGTAAACATTATATTTTAAAGGTGCATATTGTCATGCCATTAAATAGCTGAAAACACTGACATGTTATAATCTGTTTTTATTTCATCCTTTGATTTTTGCTGTTTCAAAATGTGAAAAGTTTTTTGTTTGCATGATATTTCCAGTGTTCCAGTTTAACTGGTGGTTTCGGCGACACACCAGTTTTGGTGTAAAAAACTGATTAACTGGAGTTTGAATTAACTGGTGATATTTCCTTGCATGTGGCTGCGGTTGTGATCGCTGTTAGCTGTGGCAAAGTTCAGTATGTAACTGTAACAGAGAGAAAACAAAAAACTTGATTGTTCCATTTTGGTATTTTGGTTTTTAAAACAAAAAAGCATTTTTGGTTTTGTTTTTTCCTATTTGGTTTAGACAAAAAGAACATGGATTCATTGCCAACTTATTAGGTTATTATGGCAAACCTAGCCTAGGCTGTCTGGTAATCTTTAGTACAAGGATTCAGACTAACTTTTTGCATTGGTGTGCCTAAATTTTTCATTTAAGTGCACTGTCAAACAATATAGGTGCACTCACATTTTTCACAGCACTTTTAGTGCCATAACAGTATATTTTAGCACCATAACAGTCATTTTCCATACAAGATTGATTGTAAATAGGAACACCTACAGGAAAATCTTTGTCTTTATTTGAATCACACCACAAACAAAAAATGGCCAAAACTTCATTATTGTAAAACAAAAGTGCTGATGTTTAAAGTGCTTGACAAATTGAAAATTCCAAAAAAAGAAAGTATCTACACGTGGCAGTGACGCAGACCACAAGAACTGTAATTGGTCAGCGTCACAGCATCACATTTCCTCCAAGCTCCCAGGATGTGTTCTGTGCTTTGAAGCTAGTTGGCCAAACAAGCGGCTGTACAATGAATATATGAAAGAATATTTTCTTTTAAGCTTCACAACCCCCATGAAATGACTCATTTCATTCTGTCGACAACATTTGGAAAGTCTACAAGAGTCGCACAATCATTATTTTAACCCCTTTGAAGTTGGCGGAGGCCTAAAAGTTAGTCGACTTACCGGCAGAAATCAACACAGTGGAACATAGAAACTGGAATTTTGGGGGTGTAATTGCAGAGCGACACAAACAAGTGTAAAGTGTAAATGCTAGGGTATGTGAGTTGCTAACGCCATAGGTATCGGCATCGAGTCACTGCAGGAGTATAAATCCGTTGCCCCTTCTCTGCTTTTGATTGGCACTTTCTTCCACGAATGAGTTTTGGGATGGAAAACACACACACACACACACACACACACACACACACACACACACACAGATGAATAATGAATAAAGAAAATGTAGTCGCACTCTACAGACTTTGGTGCTCATATGCCCAATTGGAGCCTTGTTAAGCCTGCTAATGGCTGATAGTTTCATATTTACACATCCAGCAGACATGGAGCAACATTGCTTTTAATTTTAGTTTCCAACAACTTCAGAGAAAGATGTCTCTTTAGCTGCTAAATGCTCCAGTTTCTTCCTCAACCAGTGGCTATCTTTGTGTTTTTGGTATTTGGTTTTGGACAGGTACTGCACAATGGATTTATTAGAGCTTATTTATGCTTAAGTCAAAGGAAAACAACATGAGCAACAACAATGAGCTGAAAAGAGGAAGAAAAAAAAAGTTGCTGTCCAGCACTGATTCAGTAACCCTTTCAGCAGCACAAGCATGAAGCTGCAGTATAAAAAGAGCCACTGAGTCAATAAGTAATTTCCTCCGTGAAAGCCAAACTAACCCTCATTACAGCCCCCTGAGGCTGACGGTCCCGCTGGACTCCTAGGGTCCTAGCTGAGGCTCCATGTGGGATTCCAAAGAGAGTGAACGCTCGTCCTAGAATCATCTGACTTTGCTTCAGCTGTCATTGCCCTGCCACAGCTGGCAGGAGTCATCTGTTTACTAGCAGAGCAGGATATATATTCCAGCTAAATCCTGCTGTTTTTTCATTTGTTAGTATGTTCATAGTATGTTCATGTAGTGTGTCTGACCCTAACCCTATCAGTAAACACAACTTGTTCCTAACCTTGACCAAGTGTTTAGTTACCTAACCTTAACTATACCTAAGCCATTGTTAATTTAACCTTAACTCCACTGTAGCTGCCCCACACAAGGAAACCTCGGAAATGTTCTTGCCAGTGACAGCACAAGAGGCATAAACATTGCGACAACATCTGTGAATCAAGATAACATCCAAGTACTGACTCCAGGGCCCCGTTTCAGAAAGCAGGATTAGTGAAAATTCTGAGTATGTTGAACCTGAGATGAGGGAAACTCTCTTCTGTTTCAGAGAGCGAGATCAGATAATCCCTAGATCAGTAACTCCAGAGGAGGTTAGGTTCACGGCATCAGTTGAAAAACCGGACTCCTCCCCTCCCGCGCCTGCTCATTTCCTCATTCATTCTGTCGATATCAAAGCACATATCTGAACGCATTTACATCTTTAAAAACTTTAAAATCCTACTTAGACTAGGCTATTAGTTTCTTACCCAAACATGATCTTGATCAATCTGTCATTGATGTAAGGACAGATCTCCGCACAACGTGGATTTATCCTCAGCACAGAATAAAATCTGTGTCCGTCTTTAGGTATAACACTGCGACTAGCTGGACTGAAAACTCTTACTGTGGGCTACTGCAGTAATCACTATTTTATATGTAACCTATAAAACTGATCAATGAAAATGTTCATTGATTACTGCAGTAGGCCTAATCTTTCATATCGTAGGCTAGTCGCACTGATTGGAACATTCCTATCGTAGTTGTCAGCTGGAGATGGGACTATTTCTGAGTGAGGATGACTGTGGTGCAGCTGAAACAAATAAGCCTAAAGCTTTAAAAGTGAGTTTTTCCATTATTAGGCCTAACTGCTGATAGTCGTGTGTTTTGATAGCATTAATAAAATACAAAATGAGCAAGATTTTATTAATGTAAAATAGACATCAGTTTGAACCTATACACATTTTCCACTGCAAAAAATAATTAATAGACTAACATGCTGGGTGTGACTGTGACTTTACAATCACAGGTTCACGAGTAAACTTATATTTGATCTATCGCCAACCTATTTTCATAGGTAGGCGATTGCCACCGGCATTTTGCCCCGTTCGGTTACACCTTAATAAATATAGCCTTCCTATTTAAAATCGAATGCAATGGGCTGTAGCACTTTATCATTCATTAAGGAAATTCCAGTCTGGTAAATGATGAATGAGCAACGCTGTATAGTAGCCTACTAATGTTAACGCATTGATCTTTCTTCCACTCCTGCGTTTTAGAGCCAATCATGGTCCCTGTTGGCACATTCATATTTCTAGCTCCACCCGATTAAAATGGAGGCTCTGCCTTTATTTACCCGTTGCCATGGTGAATCATAGCCTCGGAGCTCCATTGATGAGGCTTTTTTTCATCCCCACGCACACGCTTCCATCAGGTTCAACATACTCAGAGTTGATTGAACTTATTCTGATCAGTTGTTCTGGAGCCGAATATTCAGAGTTTGCCACCTCAGGCTCAATAAACCCAGAGCTCAGGGATAAGCTCAGAGTTTGTTAAGTATGCTTTCTGAAACAGGCCCAGCTGTGTTCAGTGTTCTGCTGTGTTTTTCCATTGTTTACCCCCTTCCCTTGTGTGTCTGTTTGTGTTTGTGATGTGGGCATGGTGTATATCTTCTGGCAACTGGTCCTCCTCCACACCTGCTGGCAATCTGCTCATCAAGCTTCCTGCTTAAATACTCCTGGGCTGTATCTGAAGTCCCCATTCAGTTGCCACTCTTTATCTAGTGTGTTGCAGAGGACTATACAGTGAGCTCACCCACAAAATGAAAACAACATTTTTGGACACTACTCTATTCTTATTATTATTATTATCTCACTATTATTTTGGCACTGTTAATTATGTCACTGCTGTTGGACAATTGTTTGGTGGACTGTTTTTCTATAAGTGCAATGCATGATGGTTGGATGCTTGGTTAGTGACCGACGGTTGTAAACTACTTTTCAAATTGCATTCAAGGAAAATATGAGAGGACGATATAGGGTATATTAATTCTCACTTTACATTTGGACACACTATAAAACGGTGATTTCGGACACAGAGCTGGTCTCCTGCCATTCATCGCCAGATTGTTTCTGTAATGTGTTTTTCCCCCCCTATGCTCCAGTATTCCTGTGCTGGCTTCTCACATATTCGCAGCAACTCCTCGCCGCTTCCACCCAGACCACCTCCACTCTGCCATCAGAGTATGGGTCCGCTCTTGGGTCTGTTAAAAATCTAAACCTAACAAGTAATTTATAAAAAGCATGAAAAGAAAATGTAGGACAACTGTGGCAAAGCAAGACAGACTGCTAACCCCCGCTCCCCTG